ATCGATCTGGTTGATGTCGCGGCCCCTTGATTTTGAAACCAATATTTAATTTCTGGGGGTGCTTTACATTCTCTTACATTTACTTTTCGCGTAATTTTGCGTGAGAGTACGTGCGAGAAAGTACGGGCTGTCTAGCACCACTAACTTGAAATATCTCTCACGCCTTTAATATGCACATTTCCAACTATTTGTTTACATTATGTGCGTAAAAGTGCTTCATATAACGCCCAAATAAGTTTTTCGAAAACTTAAACGATTTTAGCGAAAAATAACTTCAAATTTCACTTTAAGAGTAATGTATAAACGCTATTTTCTTAAAAGTGACTCCAAATTTGTTTCTGAAAACTTCCATATATGGCGAAGTTTTAATCTTCTGTAATATTTTTAAAGTTATATTTCGGTTCTACTATTAGGAAAACGAAAAATTGAGAAAATTAAAAACAAAACAAAAAAACTGATGTTTGGGCGGCGATAGATGGCAGCTGACAAGAGGATCGGGCACGACCGAAAAGCTAACACCGTTCAAAGAAATTAGAAAACCAACTAGTACGAGAAAGTCTATGCCACTCTGTAGCACCACTACTTTTCCGAAACGTCTAACTCTACTAATTTGCCAAAACATCTACTAATCCAAAACTCCGTCCGTCCATCTGTAAACTCCACAAGCGTCTAAACTATACGTAGGATTTTTTCGAAAATATATTCTCCTGTCGATCTGGCTCTACTCGAAGCGCCGCGAATTTGAAAAAAAAAAAAAAAAAAAAAAAAAAAAATTAAAATTTGGGGGTTTTTAACATGAAGCCCCAGGGACATTTTCAAACTTTTCTCAGAAATAGATCCACCTTTTTTCTTTAAATTTCTTGTACGAATAGAGTAAAATACACTAATAAAGGTGACATAAGTCCGATTTCCACGCTTAACTCAAAATTTTCGAAAATTTCAAAAGTTTGGAATTTTATTCGGCGAATTTCTGCTATTGTAAAATTGAAGATAGTTTTTTTCTTTGAAAAAAAAATTTTCCCCCGTAGTTATTTCATCGAGGTTATGTGTATTTTTTGTTCACAATTTTAGTATTTTTCGGGCAATATTGCAATATATGCAGTATTAAAAAATAATAAAAACAAAATTTTCGCAAAAACGGCTTCAATTTTTTACTTTTGGAAGGGATAGTGCCAAATATACTGTATAATATGCCGTAAACGCCATTTTTCTCTATACTTTCGTGTTTTTTTCTTCAAAAAATACAAAAATGTAATTTTTTACTTGTCTTTCACGTCGTTAATATTAAATTAACGGCGATTTGTTCACATTATTGCATTTATGAATAAATGTGCATTCAATTATGTTTTCAAAAGTTTTTTGAGAACACACAAAAATTATGTGAAAAGATATCAAAATTCCGAATTTTCAGAAACTTTCAAATACCCTATTCTAAAAAACTGCTCACATTTTTCACACTTTTTGTACGGGTAGTGCTAATTACTCTCTTTAAGATGACATGTATTTCAATTTGCTGTATTCATTTGTTTTTTCAAAAATTACACAACTATAATTTTTTTGAAATATCTCTCACGTCGTTAATAAGCATTTCTTCGTGAAAGTGCTTCAAATGACTTTTTATAAAGTTTATCGAAAACTCAAAAATGTTCTGTCAAAAAGAACTTCAAATTTTGCTTTTACAATAACGCTCAAACGCAATTTTCGAAAAAACGGATCCAAATTTTCCATATAAGTCAAGATTTTTTCTTCTGTAATATTGTTAAAGTAATATTTTGGTTCTACCATTAGTAAACTGAATAAGTGAGAAATTTTCAAAAAATATAATTGGGCGGGATAGATGGCAACTGGCAAGAATATGAGGAAGACCAAAAAGCTAGCCCAGACCAAAGAAATTATAAAACTAACTTGTACGAGAGTCTGTGTCATTCGTTAGCTCTGTTTACGCTCTTACTTTTCGTGTTCATATCGACAAATCGAATTGATCTCATCAATCGGAAACGATTTTCCCAAAAACCTGCACGCAAGTTCTGCGATTTACGGTCTTGTTTTACGTTTTACTCTCTTTACAGCCATCAAAAACAGGGCTTCCAACAAAGCCTTTATTCTGAATGAAAGAATGTAATATCTGTCCGTGTTATGAGGATGAACATCTCCTTTCATCTGAATAAAGATGTTCGTGCTTTTGACATTTATATCTGTTATATCTGGTGGTCATACGTTAAGGAAAACATTCGTGTGGAGTGTTACATTGTCGAGCTGCCCTTTTAGATCCTGGAAATATTTTTAAAATGTTTTTGGATTTTGTTTTCTCTCTTATTGTAATGGATTTACTCGCCCACAGAGTACCCTGGTCCTTCCCGATGCAAAATCGTAAGTCGTTAACTTTATTTTCATTTTATCACCAATACTTCCAGGGCCAGATTTAAGTATAGCGGGGTTCCAAGCACAAAATTGTGTTGCCCTCCTCCTCCTCCGTAAAAAGCGTTCCATCTTTGTGAAATAAAAAACTTACCTTAAAACAAGTACTTTCTGTATAAATACAAATGAAAACTAATAATTTTGGAATAAAATTTTACATATATTGTATTTATTACATTAAATAATATTTTGCATAAATGCATTTTACAATAATTAAATAACGTGTAGTTAATATTAGACTATTTTAACATGTATAAAGTATTTTAAAAAAATCAGTTTTAAATACAAATTTTGTAGTACATTAGACTATTTGAGTAACAATTATTTGTCAGACACGAAAATGTTATGCATATTTTCCTGAAGCGCGGGGCCTCTCATGGAAGCGGGCCCCAAGCAACTGCTTGTTTTGCTTGTAGGTAAATACGGCCCTGAATTCTTACATTTCCGAGTCGCTGTCAAGGTCATCTACGACGATGTGTTCCTTCTCGAATTCAATGAACCCTGGATCGACAAGCATTCTTCTATGTCGTTTCTTTCCTCTTCCTCCAATAGTTCTTGACCAATCCTACAAATGTCTTCAGGTCGGTGGAATCGTGCCCTAAAACGCAAAGGTAAAACATAACATGACGAAAATCGTAAAGATAAGGTGTAAGTAGATAAATATGTTAAAACGAGAATTGTAAGTATTAGGAATCTAGATTACTAAAATCCACTGAAATCACCTAAACATTACACGAATTTAATAACCAATTTACTTAATTTAAACAACAATTACCTTAAGAGGATCATTATATTTTTATTACAAAAATATGTGAAAATATATTTACATATTCATCACAGTCGTGAAAAAAGGGAAAAAAGAAGAGAAAACTGGAATAGCGCGATAGTGTGGTGGTATTGTTACGCCGCGTAGAGGGAGGACTGTTAACATTGGTCACTAGCTGAATTTGGCGCAAATGTGGGTGGGTCTTGGAGAACACGTTGCTATCATGTGCCTCATGTGTATCATGCTATGCGTTTACTTCAAAATGAAGCGTAGGGAATAAACAATTAAGATTTAATGTTGCTCTAATTTTAACCATAACTCACTGTTCTTTGGAGCTCTCATGCGCAGTCTTCTTCTGGTTGGGAATGTACGAGTACTGTTCCTCCACACAGAAGGACGCAAACCTCAAATGGGGGCCCTTACATTGAAGAATTTGCAGCCTGAATTATTTCGTCATCAATTGATGCAGCACAAACAAAAGTCAATAATGAGAAAAAGACAGATGAAAGCTATTGTCATATACTTTAACTAAAAATCTGAAATGTAATTTTGATGCTTTATTTATTTGTTTGTGTATTTATTTATTCATTAAGACCCTTGGATGGCTTGTTGACAGCAGGATAGCTTCCTGTGAGGCGGTCTCACATTCATTCCCAGCCAGGGCAAAAATTAACCTGTAGTTTTCTAATATAAATCGTCTGTTTCTATAGTTTGTGACGAAAAAAAAGGTCAGGCAGCCCGCATAAGCTATGTACATACACACACACACACACACACACACACACGCATACATATATACAATCAGCAGCAAACTACCTATAGTTTTTATTTGATAGTACTAATGACGAAATAAATAGACCTCTACCCTCTTCTCCCTGTAATAAAAACAGAGCTCCGGAAAACTTGCGCAGATGGTGAATCTACATGTACAGTCCAGAAGCAAAGTAGGAACCATCTAAGTATTTGCTCAATTTCCAGAAAATTTTCCAGAACATTTTGAATGTCATGGGTTTTGTGCAAAGAACCTTCAAAAATTAAAATATTGTAATGATCTCCGGATCGTTACAACGACACCTTACCCCTAGCTCCAAAGCTTTTAATCGGAGTTGTACTTGATACGTTCTACATCTTCCATTAATGCATACATACCTTCGACCACATTTAATCTGTACCTACGTATGTGTGTGTCGAAGATATAAAGACATCCCTATTTGCGAGTACAAAATTTCTTGCAATTCCTCGCCACTCACACCAATTTTGGGTCGTAATCTATGGATAAATATATATTCTTAACCCTCTTAACAATAGAACCGATAGACATTAATCCTGACATGTATGGGAAGTTACAGCCCAAATCCTTTCAAACTGGGATTTTACAAACAAAATTTCATTTTGTATTCTCGAGGTCATTCCAATACTTTTAATCTCTAAAACCATGTTTTTACTTTTCCTGACGTGTGTGGGAAGATACAGCTCAAATAATCTCAAATGGGGATTTTACGACCAAAATTTCATATTATATTGTCGAGCCGATTCCAATACTTTTCCTCTTTAAAACCATTAGATTTTACTTTTACTCCCAGGATTTGGAGTTTTCAAAAATATTAAGCACATTACTTAAGAGCCCCAAAAATGTCTAGAAACTAAACTTCATAAGACGTTAAATACGAATAGTATTAATATAGTAATAATATTAAGCTATTAAATTGTAAGGTTAATATTTTCTTTAATATTAATTTTTATAAAGTATGTTTAATATTTCAAAAGAAATTAACAGAACCCCCTAAATTAAGTCGTGATTAGCACTCGTGTTTACAATAAACTAGTCTTGTAATAGTACCGCACGCCTGACAGTATACTCAGCAAGAAACGGTGTATTATTTGTTCAGCTGACCCCTTTCCCCTTACATTAAATCAAGACAATTCGAACAATGCTAAAAAGTAAAATTGCTCTCTACATTTTTCAATCAGACAATTCCAGGAAATTGAAGCGAACTGTGTTACGCGGCGCTTTTGTCAGACATGCGAAGACGGCAAAACGCGGATACTACTCGAAACTGGATGGCGGCGGTGCTGCGGTGGTGACGGAGTGCTAGCGAGTCCGTGCGAGAGCCTGAACTCGGCCGTGTTGCCCTGCTGAGTAGAGCAGAATAATAGTGCAGTGTGGAGGTCTGTGCCACAGTGATTTTGTGTGATTGCTGAAATAGTGTTGTGTGAACATTGTAACATCTGAAATTGAGTCTGAGGCGAGGATAATGTGTGATGTGCCATGTATTACGTACATGGCACTTTATATTTTGTCGTTTCACATACTACATAGCAACTCCAAAACGTCAACATTATGGAAGTTAAACATCGAAGAAGGCAAAATTGTAGAAGCGAGTCAGTTTCCTCGAATTGTCGCTTTGCCTCATGATACGTATCGTACAGATACCGATCAAATATTTCACATCATCACATCCACAGTACATCATGGTCAGTCTTGGACCAAAGCAGGCATGGAATATTATTGCACCGACTGTGATTCGCTTGACTTCAGAGTTGATGACAAGTGAGTATGAATTTTTGTAAAATGTCCACTATTGACATTAAGAAGAATGAGAGGTTTTTAAAAGTAAACCAACAATAAATTATAAGTTAGCCTTAACATTTGTGTTAAGTCTGAGTAGAATTGTAAAATTTGTCATGAAATAATGTTATAATTTTTGTCAGAGTTCTTAAAATTAAATGAATGTGCTGGAAAAATTTATTACAATTAAATTTTATATTTATTTTGTTAAAAGGCATTATCTCCAGTCAACAGACAGCAAAAATAACAAATCATCAATAGTGTCAGTTGGCTGGGACTCAAAAAACATGATGCATGATTCAGGGGCAACTGTTCCTAATGATCATGAAGAACATTTGGATTGTGGGAAACCAGTTAATTTCACTTATTATGATAATTTAGTTGGAGTTGCTAATAGGCACAACCACCCTCATGTGCCTGAACCACAAGTGGCAATGATATTTAAGAAGAAGAACTCAAAAAATACGGAATTAGATGTAAATATGCTTGAAAAGAAATTGAAGAAAGCCAAAAGAGAGGTCAGTGCTTGTAAACTATTTCATAATAAGGGGAAAAATATCCTGTGTAGATTTTGTTTTTGTAATGAAATTAATGGAATTTAATCCTTTAATTGACAGAAACCAAAATCAGTACAACTGTACAATCAAATTGGGAATTTTTGGAGAATAAAGGGAGATGCAAAAAAATCCATTGAATGCTTCAGGCGAGCACTTGCTGTATCACCGCATAATGCAGAGGTAATTTTAACTTTTTTTGTATTTGTTTGTTGTTTTTAGTGAATATTTTCATGAAATAAGGTTGTGTTTGCAGGTACTATTGAATCTCGCACGTGTTCTGTTCAATCTACAGTATTTAGATGATGCCATCTATTTAACAAGGAGGTCATTAGAAGTGCAGCCACCAGATAAAAATGCCTGGCAACAATACTTCACTCTTGGAGAAATATTTAAGGTTGGTTATTGCTCATAGTGGTTTAATACATTTTTTACTACTTGCAGTAGAAAGTAAGATTTATTAATTTAATTTACCCTTCATTATTTGTTTCCCAAAAGTATTCTGTTCTGTTGATTTTAAAGTGTGACTTACATATTCTTTCTGACATCGTTGTCCCAAATCTTTTTTATTCTAATTACAATGAATAAAACATGCCTTACAATATTTAGGAAAAAGTAAATATCTTTGACTGTGGTGAATAAGCTGATAAGTCATAAGTGCTTAAATTTTATAGGAGGGCTTAAGAAACAACTTCAGCTGATGCTGTAAATCAGGGATTAATGATTTCAAGTGAAACCTACCCACAAATAGATTAGTTTGAAAATCACCTTCATTTGAACATCATTAATCCCTGATTTACTTCTGTGGAAAGATGATTTTGGCTCTTCTGTAAAATTTAAGCATTCTGACTTATCAGCTAATTCACCAGGGTCACAGATACATCAATGTTACATAGCAATAAAACGTCTTTATTACAGACATTGGGAGAATTGGAATTTTGTCCCTTGTAAGTGTGAAATTGTTTATAGAAGACCATCATTATCATTTCCTATGAAAGGGACTCTCTTAAAATAGGGTTTTCATGTAATTGTCTTCATAAAGTCCTACAGAATAAAAATTTTGGGAATCATTATGGGGTATTGTATAAATGAGCAATATCAAATTGTTTTTTGTTTATTGTTTTCTTAAGGCTTGGGATTGGTATCCTAAACTATGGATTGATAAGTGAGAAAATGTAAATGATATTTTTCAAATACTTTCTTTGTAAGTATCAAATTGAATGAGTTAGTATGCAAGAGATTCACCGAATTATCAAAAAGAAAACAAAAAATTATTATACAGATTGTATATCAGTGTCATCTGATGAAAATATGAAGTTCTAGTTGTTGGTAGTAAAGTTTATGTATTTTGGAAAACTTTCAGTTGACAATTCAAAAAATCACTGACTAGGTAAATTGTTGAGGATGGTCATAAAAAAAGTCAAAAACATTGTGGCTTTTTTAAGTAGTGGAAATAACAGAACTTACCTTGAAGATAACATTCACCAGAGAAGAAATTGAAATATTAAAGAAACTAACAATTCAAAAAATTTTGGAAGGATTAATGGTTTGATGTAACATTTGAAAATATTAGTAAGCATGTTAAAATATTTAAAGCTTTTATTCTCAATTCCAGCAAGACAAACTTTTGCTTTGTTTTAATATTTCTTAATAAAATATAATATTGACTTTACGGTGATTCAGTCTTTCAATTCAGTTTTTCTTGCATTTCGATCTCTGTAGTTTGGACATACCTGTCAGTCAGTTTTTCAAGAATAAGTATGATATTTTACTAGTGTAGGTTTACTGGGAATCTGGACACTTTAGAAAGAAAGGTATATAATTTTCAGGAGTTACTTAACGCTGTGGTGTGCAAAATTTGTGTGAATAGAAGGTTCACATTGGTTTAGGAGAATTCTGAATAGGAATTATTTGATGCCAAAATTAAATAATCTGCAAATTAAAAGTAAAGAAATGGAAAGGTCATAAGGCAGCATTTGTTTCATAACAAGGGTGTCAGCTGGCCTAGATTAGTGTCGTGATTTGGATGGAAGCCAGTGTATTGCATAACTGTTGAGGTATACAGCATGATTACCAGTGTTATATAAATGCATCAATGTGTTATGTTATTGGCATTTCTTTTGGAATGAGAAAATTCTACAAGAACCAGAAATTTTTAAATTAATGATAAAAATGAGTCATTGTGGTAACTGTTCCAATATAGGTGTTCTTTGAAACAGTGACCTCTGTATTTTATTTTTCTGCAATGTGGCTGCAGTGCAAAGAAAAAAATATAATTGGTCAGTTTTCTGCCAGAAAAAAAGTGTGCAGACTTGATGTGAAATTGAACTTGTTGAATTTTATTTCCTCCTGTTTTTATTACTTATCTAAAGGTCCTATTCATTTAATGAAGACAATATATTATCACAGGGATATGTATTGCAAATATTGGAATGTAATATAATATGTATCGAAAAACTATAAGAGATTCATAAAAAAAAATGGAAAGAGTATTTTGAAAGACTGTTATTAGATGATACAAATATTAAAATGGATGGGGGAGGGGAGGAAGTTGTAGTAAAATAGATGTGACTTAAGATGGGTGAGAAAAGGCACAGAAAATAAACAAAAATCACAAAAAATCACCCTGCCCAGTGGACATGTTGGCTGAACTGCGCAAGTTCAGTCCCTTATCTTGTCCCTAAACTGCAACAAATGCTTGTGTTCCCCAGGTGCATAAATTTATATCTACCCAAGGAGTGTGAAGCATCTTATTTCACAACAATTTACAATGTGTCCATACTTTCTAGATTTTTAAAATGGTAATGCAATATTATAATGCTATTTGAACTTGCAAAAGTGTTTCTAACTGACCAATATTTTCAGCCCTTCAACACCATGTTAATTCCAAAACCGTGGCCATTTTGAGGCTTTTGTGGGAATTTTGTAAGTTAGATTGTTGAAATCTCTTCACCTGGTTTGGCTTTCTGTGTTTGTTATGTGATTTTAAAAAAAATGTGAGCTTGAATAATTCTAAATAATGACTTGTGTAATTGAAAGGCTGAGCGTAACTGGTCTAATCCTCTCTGATGTTGAAATTGGTTTGTTAAAAATAATCTGTTTTCATTAACTATGAACTACGTGGCAGAACCAATAAATATTGAATGTAATAAGTGTATTGAGTGTTTATATGCTGTTAGTTTTTGTTCTCAAAGTAATTGTAACAAATTCCTAGTGCAACAGTGGGGAATTTGACCAATTAAAACTAGTCACATGTGCAAATAACATTTTGGTTGCACATTGCTCACAATCATTTGGTTGAAACTGGAACACAAATATATTGTCTCCGGACATAGCTACTTTCCTTGCGATAGAAACTTTGGTCTTGTCAAAAAATAAATAAATAAAAAGAGGTTCCAAGTATTTTCTCCTTCAGAATCTGCCTGTAAAGTACAAATCTCCAATGCTAATCAAAGCCAATAAATTGAAAGATATCAAAAAACTTTCACAATATGTACCAGCCGAATATTATGATTTCTTCAACAGTCTCTTCCGAAACTTAGCAGGAAGGTCACGACTACGAAGGTTATTTCTATGACATACCTGATGTTCAAATAATAATTTTTTTTTAATTATTACAAAATGTATTTTCTTTTTCAATAATTTCCTACATATGTCATCATATTTTTTAATTTCTGTAATATTAAGGTAGTAAATAAATGTAATTTCTGTAAGTTTCAAGGATTATTTTGATTTTGTTCTAAAATCAAAAATGTGTTCTTGGCAATCAGTGTTGGAGTTCAGTGCAACACTGGTTGAACCCACTTTATGATGACTCAAAAGAATTTAATTAATTGTTCACTTTTCATTTCATCTTATATCAGTTTTTCTTGTATGGCAAAGAATACTAATGTTCAGAGAAAGTACTGTTTAGAACAAAATTAATGTAAAGGAAAAATGTGAAAAATTGGAGCATGTCAGTTTTTAAGTACAATATCTCAGATTCTAATTAAGGAGAGCTAGATCACTGTTGTGCTTGACCTTTCAATTGATATCTTACAAATTTTCCTGTTTATTTTCTATTAAAAAAATATTATAGTAATATGTGATGTTTCTTATAGGCATACGGCCACTATCAAGAGGCCTCCTTACATCTACGACATGCTCTGGAACTTAAACCAGAGTTTGAGCCTGCTTTGGCTGCACTTAAAGATATGGAATCTATTCCTGATTCTACTATACACATTTATACTCTTCTTATAATAATTTGCCTGGTAAGTTGAATATGTAAGTTTTTTTCATAATGCAAGCTTAGTGAAGCTTCAACATGGCTATACTTTGTAAGATTTGGGTAAAAACGACATTCAAATAGAAAATAATAATATGTAAAGATTTATGTTTTCTTGGGCTAAGTAGTAGTTGAATTACATAATTTCAAGAAAATATAGTAGGTAGACAATTATTACTTTACCATTAAATCTTTATGATGAATAATTTTGTATTTATTTCTCATCCAATAGAGTATTACAGGAACAATTAGCAAATTAAATTAAATTTGTTTATGGTGAAATAATTGAAGTGATCTTCGTCAACTTACTAGATTTATTCAGATAGCCAGCTCGTGACAGCTTTGCCAGCATCATCAGTCAATAAATGAATTACAAAATAATATAATACGTATCATACAATTAATAAATATATTGAAATTAACATAAATACAAAAAATGCTGGAATTAACACAAATAAAGGAATTGCAATGGATACAAAATAATGATGATGATAATAATAATTATAATAATAATAATAATCAATTAAAAAGTAATATCAAATGAAATTTCAAAAAGTGAAACAGAATAAGTTGAGCCGCTTGCTTATCTTGCTACATGTGGCTAAAATTGTGAAATGGTTTGCAGAAGGGATGGGTTGGACAAAGTGTTCAGTGTTTTCTTGGGAGAGTCTCAGAAGGTAGGTGGAATCAGTTTGGGGGGAGGGGTGTATAAAATAATTAGCAGAGGGACCACAGGAAATTGGTTTGCTCTTTGAAGAGAGATTCAGATTTCTGCTGGAATTGATATATGTGATTTTTTAAAAGTCTTCTGATCTGTTACCCTTTCTTCTTTTTTTGTTTTCTTTTTCCTGCTTTTTTCTTTTCCTTTTTTCCCCATTTCTTTCTTTTTCTTCTTCCTTTTTCTTTTCCTTGTTCCCTTTTTAAATTGCTCCTGTTCCAGAATTTATGTTAAAATATATTTCTGGGACTGTCAAGTGAGTTGTCAGAGCAGGTCTGTTTAGTGTCTTCTCGGAAATGTCTCAGGAAGCAGGGGGAGTCACTTTGTGAGAGAAGGGCATGTAAAATTATTAGTAGAAAGGACATAAGAAAATTGGTTTGTTTGTTGAGGTGAGATTCAGGTTTCTGCTTGGATTGAAAAACTTCTAAAGCACTCCTGTTCCAGAAGCTGTGTTCTATTTCAAAAATTTTAAGGTCTTAGACAGGGATAAAAGTGTGTTCTGTGTTGATAGGACTTGTAGCAAAGGGTGATATGTTTGTATTGTTTCTACACTTGTAAATGTTTTTCAACTCTGGCATTGAAGCTTTGGCTGGTATGGTCTATGTATAACTTCACAATTGCGGCAGTGGAATTCGTTAACTCTTGAATTTACCATGAGTATGATTGCAAGGGGAGAGGTGTTTGAGAGATTCTTGTGTAGTTAAGGAAACCTGCAATTGTACTTATGAGGAATGCGAGCTACTTTTTGTGATATTTTTCCAAAGAATGGAATAAATAAATTTTCATGGTTTCTGGGTGAGTGGGGTGAGGCTTATATACATTCTCAGTTTTTATTTTATTTACTTTGTGGTATAGTATGCTGTCAATGAGACTGTTACTGCACCCATTGATGGGAGTTATGTATTTGATAGTGTGCGTTTCTTTTTGAAAGTTGTCTTGTGAATCATTGCAAGGAGAGCCACATATTTGTGAGCAGATGGATATTAGGTTGACTGTCTGTGTGTGAGTTTTCTAAAAACATTCAAAACGTGTTTGTCATCTATGATAGAGACAGTTAGGCACAAGACCCTAGAAATGGTTTGGTCTTAGAAATTAATGGATTGATTTTCATTTTCTAATTCATTCACTTATGTTTATTAATTGTATTGTTAGTTTTATCTTATTATTAAGTACTTATTTGGTATGTTATTATATTATTTATAGATTGGCGATTCAAGGAAGTTGACAAAATTGATTTCAATTATTTCACCACCTAATTATGCCAAGAACACCTTATCAGCTTTTTAACAATTTAAATTGATTTAATATAGAAATGACCAAATGTAGTTAATTTTGTAATATTTTGTGGAGAAAGGTTACTTCATCATTATGTACTGCAAGTTAATTGCCTATTCCTGTTGGCTATATCAATAAGCCTAGATGGTAATCATTCAGGTGTTCCTGGTTTATCAATTTTAGTTGTAGTTTTGCAGCATCTCTTTGCCTTATTGGTACACATCTCAAACCTGCCTTTGGTAATTTTTCTTCCTTCATTGTGTTGATATGGGAGAGCTATTTCTTCTGACCTTTCTTTATCTTGTCTCTAATTTGTGTCTCCAATCTTTTTCTGGTATCTTTGACTTCTTTGTCAGTGTTTCAAAGTGATTCCCATAATGTGTTGTAGGAATCTCAACTGCATGTCTTCCAATCTTTCATGATCTCTGCTTTTCATTGCCAATATTTCTGATCCATTATTTGAGTGTTGATTTTATTGACACATCTTCACTTGGTTTCTTGGAATATATCTCTTCCAAAATGTCTTTTGATTATTCCATTTCTTTTGTTGTATCTTTAATTTTGTTTTATAGATATTGTGATCTACATTCAGTGATACTGTTGAAATAGTGAAACTGGAGGGCTTGTTCTATTACTTATCTGTTAAAGATGATTTCAACTAGTCTTCATTCCTTTTACTTTCATGGCATTTTGCTTGGTAGAGATTCTCATGAAATATTTTCGTATTTGTAGCCCATTTGTTGCCATTTGTAGGTCATCTTCAGGCTCTGTTAGTATAGCTACATTGTGTGCATAGACAATAATTTGGATGTTGTCTTTTTGGTTACTTTTTTTTTACTTGTTTGTATTCTTTGATATTACAATCAGTGATTAGTTAAATAGATGTGATAACAGCCCACAGCCCTGTCTGGAGACTTCTGTTTATTCCAAGGAACTTTAATATATCGCTCACTTTTACTCTTATGCGTGAATTATGGTAAAGGCTTCAAATTCTCTTTTGGTTATTTGTGTCTTATTTTCCACATGCGTCTTTTGTGCGCTGCCGCTTTCTGAATCAACTTTCTTTTCCCATGAGTAGCCCACTGTCTTAGTTATTAGGAAGGGGCGGTGTTTAATAATTTTGTTTTCTTTGCACTTTACAACAATGATTTTTAGTATGTGCATAAATTTTATGTTATGCCAAAAGGAAATGGCCCATTTTTATATGATTTTTTTCTTTTCATTTTCATCGATTTGGAGTAATGTTTAATTTCTACTTTTTCCTGACAATATTAATGCATTTTGCACTGATTTCATCAATTTTAATTTTATTTTAATGATATTTGCTTGAAATAATATTTAGGAGATGCAACAGATGTTCTCCGCAGAATTCCTGCCAGATTCCTATTCAATTTCTTCGCTCAAAAATTGTAATGCCCGCCATTGTGAGTATGTAATCTGATTCCTATGATGCCTATCAACACCATTATTGGTTCGGCCAATTTTACAATAACTGAAAACTGAGATTTCCTGGTATAGAACAATCCAAACAAAAATTTTGCATGTTCAGTTCATTTGAACGAAAGAAATAAGCATCAATTCTTTTTAACATATAAACAGCTTGAATTATTCACCTGAATTGGCTGTAATCAATTTTTTTGCATAATTTTTCTTTGTTTTTAGGGCATTTTAAGAGCATTTCATTAATCATTTTAGATCATGAAAATCCACCCCTAGGTATTAGTCTATTTCTTAATTGTGTGGGAAGAAATTGAAACAAAATAACAGTGCCTTCAAAAAGCCATGTTCTTTAAAATAATAATTTAGTAACTTTACAAAATCTATCCTAATAAATTTGTACATCTTCTCTGCAGCACTACTCATGAGCGTCGTCTTTTCCATCTCCGTCAACAATCTTCTTTGTAATGACGCTGGTGCCTGTCACTCCTCAAACCGGAAACCCATGCAATCTTCCCAATCTGAATCAGTCTCCCTCAATTGTTAAGTGTGTTTCTTAATCAGTTTAATGGTGTTATTCTTCTGTTGTTATCACAGTTTGTTTTTACACCTTTCTTATGCAGATAAGTTGTCAAACTTGCCATTCTTTTAGGACCATGTATTATTCCGAAGCTTTGTTGAGCAACATTTAGTTAGCAGCACTCGAGTTCTTTATTTTCATTTAGTAGTTCAATGATAATTCCATCTGGGTGTTTACTGTTTATTGCTTTTATTAGTGGTGTTACCAGTTCTATTAATATCTGTGCCGCTGTTTTTAGTTCATTTATTGTTTTATCTATTCTTGGGTTTATTATATTTTCATTGACCTGGTTTGTAGTGTTGCATACTCATTTCCATTCAGGAATCAGATCAGGATTTTATATTGTGTGTCAGCGCTAAGCTTTCTTATAAATGAAGCATTTAAAATACAAATAGACATAATAATAATTTGAGTAATGCAGAGGTAAAAATTTTACATTGTAAAACTAGAGGTGCTTCAGAATGTTACTAGTAGTAACCAGAAGTATTTCAAAAAAATTATGTGTTTAAATTTTGAAAATTCAAAAGAATACATTAATTTAGTATTTATGTCATCTTATTAAAGGAATTTAGCACTATCCATACAAAACAGTGAAGTATAAGTTATTGAGGTGTCAAGTTTGTCGTACTTTTGTCGTACGTTTTTTTTTTAATAAGAGTGTAAATTGTGATTGCAGGCCCTTGGTGTACTGTTAGTTATATTGTCTTCTGTTGACAACAATCTTGAGTCAGAATTCACAGAAATGAAGGCACAACGTCACTTCAATAGAGCTATGGCTATGCGAAGTCTGAAGATGGGAATATCAGCCAGAACTCTGAGAGCAAAACGTTATGGAGGATCCAGTGGGAGTTGTGGTTAAGCCACAATTTCATATTAACTTTTTTTAATCTATCGACAGCATATAAAGTATGTTTCCATTGTCTCAGTGTGTGTACTGACATCTTTGCAAATTCACAAGCAATATATTTACATCAAAAGGATTATTTTCTAAAACAAACTCTCCAGTAGATTTCTTTCCATTTTCCATCTATAAGGCCCTCCAGCATGTGAATCACTACCCTGTTTTGAAGTCAACTGTGAATTTTAGGAAATTAAGTGTAATATTTAGTGGTAGATACAATCGTCTGAAATAAATGAATAGATGAGCATGAGCCCACATAATGCTTTTTGGAAACATATTATTGTAGGGCAATTGCTTACAATAACCAGTCCTTTGAGATGAAAAAGAAAGCATGCTTTTCATCTGTATTTGCAGTGGTAGCTTTAAAATGACACTGCACTGGAATTTCCTTAACCGTCTTGAATAGAAGACATTTAAAAAGCTATGTCCAACAGTTTTGTGAAGGCTCCTCTAAAAAAGCTTGAGGATATAATATTTGAAATGTTGAGCAAGCAAAACTTTTGTATTCATTTTCTTCAGAAGATATGTTTCAATCCTGGTTTGATGTGAAAAAAATTACAGAGATTTTGAGTGAGACTAGTCAAAAACCTTAACAATTCCTGCACTGCCATGAAAAAGGAGTTAAATGATATTGTCACTGTTATCTAATTGTACCCATGCAAATTTTGTTGGTTTTTGTTTTTAATTTTTTTCAGATAGTTTCCTAGAATAAAATATTAAATTGGAAAAATTGTACCCTCGTTATGATTTTAATTTCGAAATTCTTTTATTTCATATTATTTGCTTATTGTTATACTTATTAATTGTCATTTCCATTGTCAGTATGACTTGGTATTAATAAAAAGCGGTAACGTACTTAACTGGAAATAATTTCATTGTTTGCACTAAAGTCTTATTTAGATTTTAATTTTGTTGGAGAAATTCTTATTATTAATTATAAATTCATAAAAAGGGTACAATTTTCAAATTTAGTTTAAAAGTAATCGGTTATTGAGAAGATTTGAGTTTTTTTAGATTGATTCATTTGTCTTTAATACAAGCGAATGTGCCCTGACTGCCAGACATCACAAACTGACTTTGTAAAATGATATTTTAATATAAGTGGATTGTGTTACCCTGAAAAATACTTGATATTTTTACACTGAGTTTGTCTCTATATTATATTGTGTGATTGATATTTGTAATAATGATTTATCAGACATTGGTTAAATCTAAGTCTTAGTCATAATATGATGTACTTGTTAAGTTATTCTGTACTAATGTATCTGTGACAAATTTAGAAACATCAGTTTGTTGTCATTTGAAAGATCAAACTTTACGACACAATTTTAAATTATGTTTGTGTGATGTTTTTTGCACAATGATATAAAACCTGTGTCTGCCTTTATTAATTTATTATCATTATTTATTATTATGACATTTTGATACAACTTCAAAAATTTCACTCACAAAGTTCACATTTAATGATAGGAACTATTTTGCCATATAAGGAGAAGAGAAGAAATTGGGTTATTTAATTTTTTTACTGTTTTCTTGTGAATTGATCTGTTTAGTAATAGCAAACGAACTACACAAGTGACCTGTTTTAATAACACAAAAATGAAAATATCTCGTCTTTTTAATTTTCCTTTATAAATGCTCCCAAACAGTTTTTGTTCCTGTCCTGTGATATGAATGGAGGTTCATTCATTGTAAATATATATAAAATGCACAGTGCATGATTGTTTTATTTCATTCTGTCAAACACTAAGTATTACTCATGATAAATGAACTATAAAAAATATACTGATGGACTAATAAATGGGAAGGTAAAAAGTATTTAGTGCAGCACAAATGTCTGTATTGCGCAGGGCTGTTTTCCGGCCATCGGAGAGTGGCCGAAATTTCCGCGCGGGGCACGCGGCAGGGTAGAAGGGGTGGGGCCCTGTACACGGCGCCGTGTGAAATCGGCCTGAACAGTAATTTGCACTTTCACTGACTTCGGAAGCCGCGCGCGTTCCATAAGAGCGCCAACTTCGGACAGAAAGGAAGGGGGTCATCTATGAGAAAATAGCAATTCAAACCGAAGCGTGTAAATTGGAAGAGCAATCGGCGAAAACATGTCAGACTTAAGGCCCATTCACAATGCAAACATAAAGGTAAGAATGGCGTTAATATAAAAGTTAGAACTACGTCCATAGGCGGACTCATTCACAATGCGTTCGCATAAACATAACACGTAAGACTAACTTATAAGCTTCTGTGCTTATGCTTGAGTAAGACGTAAGAAATGACCCAATCACAGAATGGTAACTCAAAATCGAAATTGAAGTCTATAGAAGAACCAAAGTCATATGGGCTATGGACACCGATACCTTGAAATCGATTCTCACATCCAACCAATAGTAAACCAGAATGTGTCACAGCCAATAGAAACTCTTACTTTGCTTACGTTTGTGTTAGTCATTGTGAATACTTCAGTCTATCGCTTATGTTAATGTTTGTCTATTCGCTACGCTTATGTTTACGTTTGCATTGGGAATGGGCCTTTACCCAGTGCCAGCGTTAGCCATGGGCAAACCGGGCGATCGCTCAGGGCAAGTCCCTCTCCGTATACTATCTCTACAGGTATACAGTGGGACTTGTCCAGGGCCCTGCAATTCAAGGGGCCCGATAATGGAACAGATAGGAAAAAAATTATTAAAATGTTGAAAAAAGAAATTAGAACTCGAAAAATTCATTATCGTAATTTTATAAGTCGCGGTACAGTAGTCCGATATTTCATGCAATTTTCACTTAATTTTTTACCTTAAATATGATTATATTAATAACTTATAAGATATGAAAATAATCAAATGACGCTAACATTATGACAGATTTACTGAAATCCATACTTATTATTTCATGTATTTAACAAATAATTTTATTGAACACTAACTAAACATATTTTTTTAACATTTAAAGACCATTGTGGAAATAGTATTATTTGATTACTAAGTATGTAATGACTACATTCTCTAAAACGTAAAACTTATTTAATATTAATATATTTCCAAAAACCTTTTCTAGTTTTAAAGTAATTTTCGTTATTTGTTAAAATAACTCGTATAGTTTTTTTAATAAAACTTTCATAGTTTTAATTTTTTCGAGGAGGGTAGACTAAGTTTCAATGTTGCCACAGAACCAAAATTTTCTAGTTCTAGCACTGCTCTTACAATTCACATAATTTTGTTTTTTGTATGATATTGGAAATGTTTGTTGTTGATAAATGACATTGTGAAGTATGAACCTAAAACAAATTAAACAAAGTTATTTGATTTGGAAGTCAAGTATTTTAATTGCTTGTAGGACTGATAAAGTAATTTGATTTGCAAGGATGGAATCACAATTTAGTGTGGTGCTAAACAGAGAATTGCAAATTTGAATCCTTTTTGTTTGACGATAGTAATAAACAATTTTTTCTTTTACAATTTTTAATTGAATAGACGGTTCTATGAAAGCTAAAAAAAGTGTCATTACTTTCTGCTCTAATTTCTGACAAGAGTACATTATACATTTCTAATAACAAATCAACGAACACTATTCGTAATCGTTTACACCATGCTATAAAAAAATATTAAACTTTCACGTTCTATTTAAAAAGACCTTAAATAATCTCATTGTTGTCTGTTACCTATCGTAAGAGCTCGTCGCTATCATTTATGCAGAATCATAATAGGGAAAAATAGTCACACCATATGTGTGGGTTGGTGTTGTAATGTAAGTAGGCACATTTTTGTCACAAAACGGATTTTAGAGGAATTAGAAAGGTAAAGTAAAGGGAGTTAAATAGACGCCCCTGCTTTCAATCTACGCGCCGAGTCGTAGCAATGACAAGTTACTCCCCTTCCTGCAACGTTGCCTAAAACCACCATTTGCCCTTTACCGCACCCGTGGACAGACGCCCGTCTATTTGACTATAGAATGTCCGCGGAAGTAGGCGTTGTTTAGGCTGGTTTAAATGGAGGTAGCGGTGTCGCGCTGCTATGGCGCTTTATACTTGGGTTTTTATTTCATGGCGCCATTGTCTTCACGATGGAATATCTCACGGTATTTCGCGTCTTTCTCAGCCGTTGCGCTAGTTGTCGCATGATCGCGACCGTATCGAGCAGCGCTGGCGATCATGCGACATTAGCGGCTCAATCGAGCAAGACGCAAAATGCCGCGAGATATTCCATCGTGAAGACAAGTCCTCAAGCGCCAAGAAATAGAAACCCTAGTATAATTTTATGGGGGACTCCCGCCACCAGCAGCGCAGCGGAGCTTTCGCGTCACCGCCAGCAGAACACAGATCCAAGTGGCAGCGTTCACGCGAGACATGCCACTGAACCGGTCTTCTTCGGCCGCCGGAATCCACAGCGGTGTGACCCACGAAACCGTCTCTTGCTAGCTCAGGTCAGTCTCCCTGGCCGGGAGGTCCAAAGTTCAAGTCCTGTGGCAGGATTTTCGACACTAGCTTGGCAGCTAGGTCGAATTCAGTCGCTGTCTGGGGAAAAATTCTAGCGGTCTGCTGCTCTGATTGGTAGTTTTCTGTGGTTTCTCCGATCAACACCAGGCGCATGCTGTAGCAGTACCCTAACAAACGGGCCACCGCCCGCACGAAATCTTTCCTCTTCGTTGTCCTATCCTCACCCCTTAAATTCGCTGGCGCAATGTAAACGCGCCTTAACAAATACAACAACGTAAGTGTTTAGAAAAGTGAAGAAACATGCCTAAAAATACTTCCTTTGCCATTTCCTGTGATACTTTGCCTCAGCCAGGGTCGGCGAAACATTTAAATTCCAGGTGCCAAGGGAGGGGGGTCATGTAAATATTATGTCTTTAAGTTTTCTTAAAGAAAAAGATGAAAACTGTATAAAATATGTAGTTTATTCAACATTTTTAATTAATAATTTATATAAACACATTAACAATTTATTTCTATACATTATTTTACTTGCCAGCAACAGAAGGGATCACATCTACATCAATTTTTAAACGTTTGGGGAGTTTATAAGCATTTTTAAAGGTTTAAGATTAAGTCCGATGTACTCACAGGCTGCAGCATGCTCCGTTTTCGCGCTTGACTGAAAGATTCATCAGTTTTGTCATCCCCTCATTCAACTCGGAACCCTCGAACAATAAACCTGTTCATTTGGTTACAATGGGACACAGCCAGCTCGCCATAAACATATTGTGCGAGCTCACAACTCACAATCGCTCGCGAAATTTTAATATTGAATAATATTATTGGTCCATTTCTAAAATATTTTTTCCACCAGTTTGATGGTGGTAATGAATATGTTAAATTGGATTGTTTCTTCAATTTTTGTCAAAATTTCAGGCGGGTAATTATCCACCTTGAATATTTTCGCGTGGGTACTAAGAGAATTGGAATAACACAATAATGTTCGATTATTGTTGAATCTTACGAAGAGACATTCCTGAGGCCAGAGCCAACGTTAGAGACGAGTAGTACCATGGCCATCTTCAGTACCGAAGGTGGCCTGGTATTACTCGAGCAACTTTTCTTGAACGATGACCTTGATCCCCCTCCCTTGTGCAATAAACAGTTGAAGGCAAAAGCTCGCAGCGGGCACTGATGACAACCTTCCAAGCATTAAAACTTCGTTGGCGCGAAACAGAAGCTAGTCAAAGCCAGTTGCTTTCATAGTGCAGAACTCCTGTTCTGATTTAGTGTCAATATCGAAAGAAATGACTTAGTGAAGTCCAGTTCCGTCAAGAGAGTCACCTAAAACTCCCGAAAAAGTTAAGCACAAGATTCAGTTTTGACTTTCATTTCACAGACGTTGGCATTACTGAAAATACTCTTGTGGCCGACTTTGTAACTAATACCCCCACTCCACCCGAAATCGTCAATCCATCGTTCAAGAAAAGTTGCCCGAGTAATACCAGGCCACCTTCGGTACTGAAGATGGCCATGGTACTACTCGTCTCTAACGTTGGCTCTGGCCTCAGGAATGTCTCTTCGTAAGATTCAACAATAATCGAACATTATTGTGTTATTCCAATTCTCTTGTTAATGCTTCTCCATTTGAGAAATGTCCTGGTGAAACCGTTCGCCAGGTTCGTCACTAACGAGACCGATACAGACATTATGAAATCAGATCTGAATTTGGGAGGTAAATTATATTCCAGAAACAGTATGTTTTGTTCTTGTTAAAGAAAAAACTTTTTTTCTTGTAGAACAGTGAAACTATCGCCACCTAAATTGACAAAGAATGTTTTTATTTTTTACTGCTTTAACACTTAATTACGTGAAAAATAAACAAGCTATTTACTAAAAATCTTCCCCAAAGTAGCTCGAAAGAACCCCGATTTACTGTTTAGAAAATCTTCTGACGAACTTAACAGGAAGTTTTACAAAGAGAGGAAGAGAATAGAATTAAATTGTATGAAGAACATTATCAATCCATATAGTATTCCGTTTATGACTTGCACTTCGAAATATTCAAATTAAGTGAAGAATATTTAATGATCAGGATTCATTTAAACTTTACTGCGTGAGCGAAGATCAACTCTTCCCTCGAGGATTTTGAATGCCCCCTTCTCAAGACATTGGCCAATTCGCACCTGTTTATATTCATTGCATGATTTTCTCACAATTTCTTTGTGTTTTTTGAAGTTTGTTTTTGAAATTTGAAACCAGTCTTTTCATTGAAACAAATGCATGATTTTCTTACAATTTCTTTGTGTTTTTTGAAGTTTGTTTTTGAAATTTGAAACCAGTCTTTTCATTGAAACAAATTTTGGGCGAACTAGAAATAAAAGAAATTAGCCATTATCGTGAAATGAAACCCGAAATTCAACCACGCACATTCTACGGAACTACGGAACACAAATGCTGTAAATGCTGCACAGGAGTGGGAGACGATTCGTTCGAGGACAGATTAAGGGTAGTTAAGGGATAGGATCCAGCTTGTATCTTAATACCTCGGTGTAAGATTACTCTGACAATATCATAAACTGTAGAAGTATGAAATGTATATGTGCCATTGCGTGGATGAATAATTACAAAGTGGCGCCAACGAAAAAGACCGATGAAACGACCGGTCAGATGTTGCTTTTTACGGTTCCTCATTAAATGAACGAACTGAAGGAACGCTAGTTCCGCTAGTTCTTGCATACTACATATGAAAGGCGTATAGTGTACATTACTATGGTGTGTGAAGGTTAGAACTCATATACAACCTTTATTCATTGTGCACATTAGAATAGTTTAGTTTAAAATCGATCATTTATTTTAAGAAGATAAACGGTTTTGTCGTGTTCTTCAGCGACGATTTTACTTGAGTAATCATGGTAGAATCCCAAGCCTCTGGAGTGCCTTCCAATGACACTACTCCAGCCAAAGAAAATTTGTCTTCAGTTGGCGAGGATAACTATGGTTACGATCTATATCCCGAGAGAAAAGGAGAACAATACAAACCTGGTTGGAAGAAAGTACTTCTTGGTCAAGCCGGATATCATATTGACAAAGTGAAGTGTGAAAGAAATGTGTATTCATGTGCAAAAAACAGTAGGTAAAAATATCTAGTGGTTTAGCTTTGTAGAAAATCTTATATATTTACTCTGATTAATGAAATAAATTTTCTTGTAGGCCCTCTTGTGAAGTTAATGATGGCAGCACTAAGAAGCTCTGGATGGTATGAATCGAGCATTCATTCTTAGTTTACCTTTAAACACTACACACATTGTGTCTTACACTTTTTTTTTTTTTTTATAGTTCTTTTGACATTCGTCGTCATGTTGCATGTGAAGATTGTGAACCAACTGTCAGTGGAGGGTATGACCCTAAACTCAATCAGGTAATTAAAAATATTTTAAGAAGGGTTACATGAATTATGTATGTTTGTAAACACTTCATCTGTGGAGATTACAACCCTAAATTCAGTCTGGTAATGAAGACATTTAGGCAAGTGGATTGGATTTTTAAAATTACAGTGAACACTTTCCAGAAATTAATAAAATATTTACCATCCAATGGATTTATGAGAGATGTTATCACACAAAATGTATTACATTAAATTAATTGGTAACTTGCATTGTACAACTTGGAGGATTTTTATATTAATTGTGAGACCTGAAGGCTGAAGTCTAGTACATGGTACAACTTACAGGAGTCACTTAAACTGGCACTTCACGCCACTCAGGCAATAACTGTGCAGTTTGAATTTTAGAGGCTTTCTTATAAAAGTGAATTGGTAATTATGCGGTGGATAGGCTTAAGGATGTTCGTAGTGAACATGAGGGCCGAAGGCCCAGGCCTCCTGTGGCTTTGATGTGGGCGAGCAAAATGAGAAAACTTGCCTTTGAAAGTAAATTGGCATTACAATGCAGTGGGAACAAAGCATATGAAGGGCGAGACATGAAAATCAAAGCGCGTTGTGTAATTTAAGGGAGGGCTTAAGGAGACCTTGCCACCATGCTTCTCTGAGGGTGTACCATGTACCCTACATTAACCAACCTGCATACCTGACAAACATCCTGGACTTGGAAGTGCTTAGCAAAGAATCCACTTGTCCTTATCAGTAATTTGGATCAGATGAGTTTAGCTCAGAGCTAGCTTTGCTGCTGTCTCTAAAGGGTCTCCGACTTGAAGGTCCTAGGGATTGAGTTCTGACAGTGGTGGACTTTTGACACAAGCTATATAGCTAGGTTAAATTCAGCTTCTGTCTGGGACAGAAATGTAGTGGCAATCTGCTCTGAAGGTAATTTTCTGTGATCTCTCAATACTGAATGCTGGAGCAGTACCCTATTAAATGGGCCACAAGTACTTTGGTATTTTTTCTTCCTCTTTCTTGTCCTTTCCTCTCTTCTTATTCACACTTACATTTACTACCCTTCCTCATGTTAGGGATCCAGGTAGTAGATTGGAGTTCATCCTGACTCTGGCAAAGACCAACTGAAGGGAACAGTAGCGTAATGTTTGGGGCCACAAGACCCGCGATGCAAGTGAGCCTGGATAAAGGGCCCCGTTTTTAGGATATATTTATTATTTATGGTACTAACACTACTTGTGTTTGCCACAGACTTTTATAAAGGGGCCTGGGTAAATGTTGTGCAGGTGGGTCCGCATTCATTTTGTTACGATACTGGAAGGGAGATACCAGGAGGGGTAAATCCCTTACAAGATGATGCAGATTGGTGTCAAATATCAATTGGGGGGTGAGGGACACCACCACTTCCTGCTAAAAACATTCACTACACTAGCAAGACTTATGATCACAGAAGTTGCCAAACCTGGATATATCAGTCAGTCAACCAATTCAGTAAAAGAAATTTAACATAAAAATTAGTATGAAATTGAATTTGTGAAATGAGTAAAACATAGGTTTTCCACTTGTACGGTACAGAACCACACGCTAGTTAATAGGAGGTGTCCCAACGACACTAGTGGAAGTTTTATGAATTCCATGATACATTTTCATAATTTTACTGCAAATATATTTCAATCACTTCCATACTTTAACCAAAATCTTTTTATGGCAGGTATACACTCAGAAGGAAAATAGTGGGTGACTCATGGTGTAGTGATTAGACTGTTCAACTTCCATGAATGAATATCAGGGTTCAACACCTGCTCACTCTATGTCAAATTTGTAATAGACAAAACAAGTTCTGGAGAGGTATTCTCAGGGTTCTCCCATTTCCCCCCCCCCCTTTTTTTTTTCCCTTTCATCCTGTCATGGATCTCCATGATTTTACCTGTCACCTATCCCATTACTCATTTAAAAGCTTATTATAAGTGTAGTATACCTAAGAAGCTGCAGAAAATGTGCCTCTGTGTTCCCATTATCAAGCATTTTCTAAATGCATGGTAATTAGGGATCCTTTTAATGTTTTTGTGCGTTATGGCACACGGTGGGAAAGCCGAAGTAACATTTGGGTAGATTTACAATGAGAGTCCAGTAAATACATGTTGTAACTGTTCATTTGTGAAAAGTTCTTTACTACCTTCTTCATTATATTCATAAAGTGTGCATTATTCATGAAGCTTAATTTATTTCAGGTTGTTATTTGTCAGAATATGGTTCATTCTGAAGGAACTGTGCAAGGCATTCTCACTCATGAAATGATCCATATGTTTGATTACTGCAACAATAAATTGGATTTTAAAAATGTGGATCACCTAGCCTGCACAGAAATCAGAGCTGCTAATCTCACTCATTGCAGCTTCTTGAGTGCATGGGCCCAAGGGGATGCTTCACCATTTGATGTTAAAAAGCGCCATCAGGTAAAAAGAGAGTGGGGCTACTTCAGATATGTCATTATTTTCTTAGTGGTGAAATGTTATGTTATGTTCTGTAACACCCTTGTGATATTTTTCCAACCCTTATTAATTGATTGAATCGAATTAGAGTATTGATGTATCCATGACATACATTTCTTACATCATGGTAATTCATTTTGTTACACTTTGCAGATACAATAATGTACAATATATTGCAATTTTCTACAGTGTTTTAATATGTTGCAAGTTTATAGGTTTAGTTCGTGAGATTTGTATTTATTCTAAGAATATTGTAATATATTATTTATGTACCACCTTCAATTTTTAATTCCTATTTAATATTTCAAGAGCAACTGCAAATAATTCAGACAGAAGTAAGGACTGTTCATAGTTGAAGTTCTCATACATCTAGTTTTTGAAAAGTGTAAAATGAGTTGTGTGAATGATGCAGACTTACAAAACAGCATACTACTTACAGCTGACTTATTAAAACCAGTTTCGAAACATTGATGTAAGTCTGCAGGATTTGTAAGAGTTAAATGTATTGATGTTTTTTCTGAGTGTTTCATCTGAATTCAGTGATTGCAGGAAAGCAGACAATACACAAAAATAAGAACTATTTTCTCATTATTCACCAAAATGTAGTCACTGAAAAATAATCTCACTGATATAGAAATATTACTTGAGGAGAAACTCGACCACATTTCGATATTGTGCTTCACCGAATTCTGGCTAACTATAGAAGAATTAGATAACATATATACCAGGTTTCTCTCGAGCCAGCAGCTCATGTCGAAATATTAACAACGCACATCATGCGTATGGTGGGACATGCATTTTTATTAAAGATACTACTAGTTTAGTACCCTACACCAGTCACACTCATCTTGTAAAAGAGAAAGACATTGAAATATCCATCACTGACTTAACTACAATAAAAACATGGCTATGTGGGACATTATTAAAAAGACTACAGCACCAACTAATAATAACAGAAAAAATGTAGAACTCCACTAGAAATACCAAACTATACAAGACCCACAAGAAATAGCTGATATATTCAATGAACACTTTTCACAAATTAAGTAATAAGTTAATCTCTCAACACTCTCTACACACCATCCAAACACTAATGTTACACAAATTGTAAATTCCATATTTTTATATGAAACCACCCCCTCTAAAAGTTTTAAAATCATTGGACAAATGGAGAATAAATTCTCAGCAGGCATGGACAGCATTCCAGATTTTCTTACATGTGCTCCATGTGTAGTGCAACCACACTTTCACGTCTGCAATTACTCACTAAAATGAGGCATATTCCCAGATATATGGAAAAGAGTAAAAATTAAACCAATGTTTAAAAAGAGTATTGTCTGCTTTCCTCCAATCACCTTGAATTCAGGTGAAACACTTAGGAAGAACATCAATACATTTAACTCTCACAAATCCTGCAGATTTATATCAATGTTTTGGACCTAATTTTAGTAAGTCAGCTGTAAGTAGTATGCTGTTTTGTAAGTCTGCATTATTCACACAACTCATTTTATATCTCCCTGGTATTAGGATTTTTAAAAATTCTGGAAAGGCTTTTCAATGATAGACTCGAACAGTTTCTCAATGCAAATAATGCCCTTACAAATGCACATCATGGCTTCAAAGGTAAAAGATCCATAGACAGAGCCATCTTCTGCTTTTTAAATGACATTCTTGTTGCCCTAAATCAGAAGGAAATTCCGATTGGCCTTTTCTTAGATTTGTCAAAAGCGTTTGTCATTATTGACCATCACATACTTTTAAGAAAACTAGAAATGCTAGGGATTCAAGGCATTGCAGGCCAATGGATTAAATCATATTTATCAAACCATAGCCAAATAGTTGCCCTCCAGCACACTAAAGAAAACAAAATCTCCTCATACTACTCCTACCCTCAAATGATAAATTGTAGAGTCCTGCAAGGATCCATCCTTGGGTCAACACTATTCCTTATATATATAAATGACATGCCTTTTGCTTTAAGGAATACCAAAATAATTTTGTTTGCAGGTGACACAAACATAATCATCAAATCAAAAACACAACAATCATTAGAAAAAGAAACTCTCAAAACTTTGCAAGCCCTTGTAAAATGGTTTCAAGACAACAAACTCATCACAATCACCAGCAAGACAGTCTCTAAATTTCATGAATCCCCAATCTAAAGAAAAACTCTCACAGCATTTGCTCATAAACAAAAACCCTGTAACGATCTCTCATGAAACTACCTTCCTTGGTTTAACAATTTAAGAAAACTTAAAATGGATTGCTCACAGCTCAAATCTTAACAAGAAGCTCGGCAAATCTTTCTATGCTCTATACACCCTCAGGTCAAGCTCCAACGTTGAGACACTTCGAACAATGTATTTTGCAAATGTGCGCTCACACCTAAAATATGAAATAATATTCTGGGAAAATGCCCCTGAAAGCACTCGCATATTTATTATCCAAAAAAGAATATTGCGAACAATGACTAGCACTCATAAGCTGGAGTCTTGCAAACCCTTGTTCAATAAACTAAGGATTCTTCCTCTACAATGCATGTATATATTTGAAATAGTGGTCTTCACAAAAAGAAATTCTCTTGGAAAACAAAGACACTTTTACTTTAAATTCCGATGTACACAACTACAACACTCGTCAAAAGGATAACCTACACGTTCCCCACTCTGAAACTACACTTTATTAAAAAAGTACCCTATTAGAGGGCATTACACTTTACAGCAAACTAGGCAATTGTATTAAAGACATAAACACAATTCATACATTTAAAAGTAAATTGAAAGCTTTCCTGCTTAACAACATGTTTTACAGTGTAAAGGAATTTTCAAAACACAACAATATTTCTCTTAAAAAATATAAAGAAATAAGAATTTCTTATCCCATTAGGCTTTCTGTTTTGTGTTAACTGTTTCGAGCTGAAGCAAAGAAAAAAGAACTGGCATATTGCATCCTGTGACGTAGACGGAGTATGCTTGACAAAAACAAAACAAAAAAAAACAAAAATTCTGTTTCTCTCTGGATTTGCTAGACGCATTAGGTGCTGCAGCAGGGCTACGTGTACAAATTGAAAGAAGAAAAAAAGAAAAAAAACTGGTCAAAACCTGCCTTCTCCTCCTCACCATATAAAGTTTTAAATATAGAATGTGCTAATATTGTAATCTTATTTAGTTGCTAACAGAATTGATATGTATTGTTTTATTATTATTATTATTATTATTATTATTATTATTATTATTATTATTATTATTATCATTAATATGAATATGATAAGTAGTAGCATTAAAATGACAATAACATCTTGAAATGTTAAATTATCTGCTACCAAAAATAATTATCTACTATATATTCTAATCTATCTGTAGCAAGTATTGTTGTATAATCCCTAGGCCAATGACCCCATCTTGATCAGGTTTTGTTCAGTTTCCCTGGTCCCTGGAGCAAATGCTGTGATGGCCCCTTGTTTTGCTCCTGAACAGTAATGTAACTTCGCTCTCTCCACCCAAGACATTGTATTGACTCAACATACACGATTGTAATTGTACATGTGACTCAATAAATATTATTATTATTATTATTATTATTATTATTATTATTATTATTATTATTATTATTGCGATGTTTTATGAATGCCACAGAATTGAAGAAAGTCACACTTTCATTCTATATTCATTGATATCAGTTTAAATTAAGATGCATAACATTGTTCATTGTTAAAAGGTGAGGTAACAATGCTATTCTTTCAATTTCAAAATGATCAATCTTTGAATATGAAATCATACGCCTCCTTTATTGCCCATTATCATCACCCTATCACCTTGTTTGATGTGAAAATTTAGTGTATTTTTTATAATGATTCTTAATTGTAATTTTTACCTCAATTGAAATAATGTACAATTGTTATTAGAAATTTGGGTAATCAAAAGAGTGTTTTTATAAATTAAGGCAATATTTTTAAAGTTTGTTAGGCTGTGTTTGGTCTTTTATAGACAGAAAATTATTTTATAATAACTGTTTTACATCAATATTTTATATGTAATACATAACAGCAATAGAAATGTTTCAGAAAATAATGATGTAATATTAAATGTCAAAACAAATAAATATATTTTAAACAATAGGCAGATTTAAACAGATGAATAACATCTACCAATGTACACAAGTTATTATACGGAACACTCTATAAGGAATATATTATGCATCATATATAATATATTAATGTAAAATAGTTGTCCTAAAACATTTTTCTGTCTTCAAAATACAGTCCAAATACAAGTCCAATACTTAAAGACCAAATACAGTCTACAGAGTTAAAAAATATATAGACAGAAAAGTAAATAATACTTTTAATTTTTAAACTTTGTGGTTGGTTTGTTATATTTTTTCCTGTGAAGATTTGTAGCAATACTTGCTATTTTTTCTGTTATTGGGAAGAGTTGAATTTCTTGTATAATATAAATTGTGGTCACCTGAAATCAACTTTTTAGTTTATCTAATAAGTTGTTGCAATGTCTGTTCAAGGAGTGTGTGAAAACCAAAGCAGTGGCATCTGTAATGGCTGTACGAAATATTTCAGCAAAGGAAGCGTGTAATGCAGTGGAACGTGTTTTTAATAGATGTTATAATGATCTAGAACCCATTGGACGAAGAATTCGTCGCAACTCGTATGACATGCAAAAGGCTTACATGGAAGCTCCACTTTATGGATATGAGTAATATTGACAAAAATGACAGAGAATGTGATTCTTACATTATTAGTAATAATTATAGATGTGTATATATTTCTAATGGTGAAGTGAATCCACCACTTCATCTCTGTACCTGAAGAAAGGTTTCAACAATGCAGATTGTGAATTGTAAAAATGTTTTTATAGTTGATTAGACATTGTTACAACAATAAATTATATATAAAAAATTAAATGCTTTTCTATCTTACATAAAATTCTATTTAAAATAAAAAAACTTCTCCCGCACTCCTACTATTTACTTCTCAAATCATATCTTAGCGATCGCTTATTTCAAGTGAAATATCAGGACGGTCTATCGGAATTCCAACCTATTTCTGCAGGAGTGCTGCAAGGAAGTATTCTTGGACTTTTTTTATATCTTATATCAACTTCAGACTTACCAACAACAGAAAGAACTACAATAGCCACCTTTGCAGACGCACACAGCTATTTCTTTCTGCAAATGAAGACCCCTCTGCGCATCCACATCTTCAAGACATCTAACAATCGAGCTTGGGTCATTCGTTGGCGAGTCACCGTAAATGAAACAAAATTCAAAACATATTACATTTTCCTAAGAAAAGAAATTGTCCAAGTAAAACTAAGCACCAGGTCACCGAACTGATACAATTCAAAAATATCTTGGACTGGCATTGGATAGAGCCTGACCTTGGAAAATTCCACATCAAAATAAGAGAAAAGAGCGCAGCTTAAGTCCTCAAATTGTCAATGGCTACATAAAAGACATCAAAGCTGTTCCTTCGCATAACAAAATTTTTCTGATTATTAAACTATAATCAACCAACATGGACTATTGGTACCTTTGATTGTGGGGCTCTTCAGTAAATCGAATCTAGAAATTCTAAAAAGATTCGAAGCTAAACACTAAGAACTATGAACGCGCATGGTACGTGACAAACAAGACAATATACAGAGGGACCTCGACATCGTTCCCGCTGGATGGATTATCACGAAGAGCGTAGATACCAGAGGAAGATTGGTTACACCACCAAATTCACCTCTCAAACAAGCTCTCTAGTAACAGTGAGAATTGTGTATAGACTGAGGAGAGAGAGTATTTCTAGATCTTCCATACGGTTTTGTGAATGAATTTTAATGTCTAAAAACGTTCACTCGGAAGATGTATTCTGTTGACACCATTTGCTTATTGTTCCGATAGGAACAGATTGTAAATTATGCAGAAAAAAAAAATCTTACACAAAATGTGACTAACTTGTTGAAAGAAGACTGTTTGAGAGTGCAGATACATAGTGAAATCAACTCTAGTTACAGTGAACCTAAATCACGGATCCTGTTTCATTTATATTTACAAATAAGCACAAGGAGATTCGGTTATAGAGAACTTTGAATCTCAGCTACAGTGATTGTGGCAAATACAATGTCCTGGTAATTAATTATTTCTTTGAAAAAATAAATTGTCTCAGTGCATCAGATTCCAACACTAGGTAGCTTGGAAAAATATTGTTGTTCAAAGGTCGTCATCAATAAAGTTTCCCCTGAGGTAGAGGTAGCAGTTGTGAAATGGAGACCTTACTGACAACTTTGTGTCAACCAGTTTCACTGTGGAAAGAAAGGCAGTTTCCTGTGTGGGCTACAACTGGCAGCGGAGGTGCATGGCTTGTATTAATAAAGTCAGTCATTGTGGAGAAATTGTACACATTGTGGTATTTAATTTTGATATCAGATATAGTGAACCTCTGGAACAACGAACAAAAATGTTAGTCCTCACAAGTTCACTACGGCAGGAGTCAATTGTATTAAATTTTTTTCTCAAAAACCGTAATAAGCTTATAATTGTAAGATCTGCACCTTGCTTCTTGGAGAAAGAGACATTCTTTGATGTTTGAGCAAGATCTATAATAAAAGTGTGGAAAGGAAGTTATTAAAAAGAAATTTGAGCAACAAACATTATTTTAATAATAAATAATTTTGTGGTAATTTCTTTTTCAGCAAAAGTTTGTCAACAGCTACCAGAGTTTGCCAGTGTAATGAACTGCACGTAACTACTGCTTGAAAAGAACAATGGTTTGAAGGGAAAAATTAAAGAAAAAAAATTACAATGAATCCATGAATTCAGACTTCGAAAGATGTTATTTCTAAATCTTTATTTCAACTTATCTGTAACATGTTTTCTATTTTGTTAAATTAAATTGAGATTTTTTGTTGCTTGCATGAATATTTTACATTCCTAATTAGTCAAATTTGCAAATTGCGTCATAGATAAGAATATTAAAACTTTTCTTGTGATTTAATCACATTTTTGTCATGACCATCTTCACATACATCATCGTTCTTTTCTTTTTGGTTCTCTAAAACGTCATCCGACCACTCACCTACCTGGACCCCCCTCCCCACCCGAATGTTTTGGGCGTTGAATTTACTTTCGCCATTCATCTGACGCTACCTAAGAACATTGACTTGTCACCGAATTGTCTTACTATCGCGCTTCTGATTCTTTCGTAGTTCTTTCATAGAATGTACTTGTAATTTGAAAATTTCAAGTAAATTCTTTAACGAATTCTGTTCACGAACTGCGATCTCGTACATCTCCGAATGTATTACGAGTGGGTACGCAGGCGAGGGCGGTAAGCTTCCAAATGCATTAATATAACCACCCTTGCGGCTGATTTTCTCTGAGCACAATAACACAATATTTATAAGTTTTGGAAACGGCGCGCTTTGAGCGTACCAGGAATTGTGGAGTTTGGACGCCGGGAAGGTGTGTTGCGGCCCCTGCACACAAGTGTTGCGTAGACATGCGAACTCGCGTCAACGCAACGCTTTTGTGACACGCTTTATGGCACATCGGAATGCGGAGTCCGTCTTCACCATGGAGAGACAGAAGGCCTCGGTGCCATAGCAGAGAACCTCTCTCAAGTTGGCACTGCCATAATCGGTTATACCAAAAACAAATATGGCACCATTTAGGTAAATAGATTTATTTAGTCAAAAGCAGTAAAAACTGAATGTGAAGTATCGGGAGAAGATAATCTGCGCACGTTTTCTTGAGTTCCAGAATTCTTTCCCATCATTTTAACTATAAATAGTTGAAAGACGAGTAAAAGTTAAAGATAAATAAATAAAATTACAATTAAAAAAAGCGCGAGATTAGCGACAAGCAAAGCAAGGGGCCATCTCAGCATTTGCGCAATGTGTCAGGACTACTGGACAAAATCCTGATCAAGATGGGGGTCATGGATGTTGTGGGAACCGGAAGCTGAAGTACATTATTTGTTACAAGCATATTAAGTCTTTAAAAAAATATACAATACAAATGTAACGTAAATCATTATATATCAATGTTTTGTTAAAATAAACATTTTTCTTTTTGTTGATCAGAATAGACTAATTGTATAGAAACAGTTATGCAACAGAAAAGATTTTACTTTTAACGTAAATTAGTGTTCCAACTTCAATTGTTTAATGTCATCTGGCAATGCGTTGTAAAGTAACGTACATGTATGTAGATTTCTTGGAGTGAGCTGTTTATACTGACATTTGATGAATGTGATTTCTATGACGTGTGTTGTAATCATAAATATCAGTATTGCAAGAAAATATGTTCCCACCGTTAAGTAAGTCAGTTAAATATATATATATACACACACACACACACAGATTCGTAATTAAATATGCAAGGAAATGGTAAGATTTCGAGCTCAATGAAGAGAGGCTTGCAGGGATCACGCGAATGGCATTTTTTTTATTATTCGAATACTCTTCTTTTGCAATCTGAAGGTTTGGATACAACATGATGAGCTTCCCCAGAATATTATGCCATATCTCAATCTCAGGCGGGAATGCACATTTGCAAAATACACGCGAGTTGCATGAAGGCTAACAGAAATAATTCTGAATGCGAAACATAATGAACTTAGTTTAGTGTTAATTCTGTTACATGCACTTTCGATTTAAAGTAGGTTAGATCGGCTTAAGTTACGGTAGCATTGCCTCTGGCTCTGTAGCGACTCTGACCGGGATGTCCTAGTGTTCGGATCCCGAGGGGGACCATGGCGAATTTTCGGCACTAGCCATATTACTAGAATTCTAGCGGCGAGTTGCTCTGATCGGTAGTTTTCCGTGGTTTCCTCGATCAATACCAGGTGAATGTCGTAGCAGGGCCGCGGATCACGATAGGGTCACGGACTGCACACGTACTTTCCTTCTTCTATCGTACTTTGAGAGGGATACACTTAAATTTTCGCACATGCTGTGAGCTTAGAACTTGTCCCGGCTAAGGTGGTGACCTCTGGGGAATAAACCTGGACACACCATCGTGGCTGATTATTGCAGGTGCAGCTGGGCATCTGGGCCGTAAGTACTGCCGTGCTGAACTTACGGACATTTTCTGTAATAACTAAAGCTCTTCAATACCAGACATTCTCTTTAATAATAAAAAAATGTATGAAAATGTCGGAATTTGTAAATTACCGTGAAAGAGTGCATAACAATTGCGGAGATCAGCATTGATTTTTCTTAGCACGCGAACCTACACGCATACGTTGGTGAAGATCTGAACGACATGTTTGAACGAGAAAGCTTGACGTGCTGAACACGAGAATTCGTATTGTACGGTTGCGACAAATTCTGCTCTTGAGGGCTGGGAAATATCTGAGGACTATCGACCAGTTTCATACAAGAAAACATGCAATAGTCAATAGATGATGCTGATAGTTACAGTAGTGAGAAGGCGGCAAAATCGGACTTCAACATAAACAATTTTAAAATTTGTTTTTAATATTGACAAAATAAATTAATTATAGTAACAATATGTTGAACAAGATGAATCGACACCAAAATTCCAATAAAACCCTTTTACCACGTGAAATATACCTTATTTTTATAAGAAAAATTTTAGGTGCAGTTATCAGTGCCACGTGGATCCAGTTTAAACTAGGAATAATCATTCAAACAGAACAAAGTCATTGGAACAATTTCTATAATTACTTCATCACAATACTTCAGTAAATATAATATACGCGTGGGAGAAGAGTCAAAATATTTTTTGTGCCTGGCGCTGCAAAAGCGAGGTGTGCCATTGCTAACCCCAGCTGCCACTGAGGTGTAGACATCAGCCTCCCCATTCGTTGCGCCGATGTGCCCTAGAGCCCATACATACTATACATATTATCCATAGACATGTGAATCCATCGCACACAGTCCTGTATTATAGAAAAGAAGCCATGCTCAAGAAACATTGAAAATAAATAAACAAATATTTTTATATAAACAATTATTTTGAACATTTTATATTATTACTAATCATAGACCTGCGCACATGGAAGGAGGCGTGGCCCCAGAAAATTTTGAAAAGGACACTTACAGTTATGTAGTAAAACATTTATTTACGTAAATAATTATAATCCCTGATTTCTCTCTTTTAAACTGACAATTTAGATAATTATTATACATTTGAAGAAGAGACTTCCCATGTCACATAACAAGGGTAAACGGTTCAACATAAAATCAATTTTATTTGTTAGATTTGTCAACACTTAGTCAGATGGCACTGAACTAAACGATTAAATTCGATACAAATGTTAAAGTCTCAAGAAAATATTTTCTGCTGCATAACTGTTCCTATACAATTAGGCACTATACCGCGCATCAAAAAGGAAAATAATATTAATTTTAAAAATGATATTTAATGTATTATTTACTATTTTGGACTGTATCATTCTAAATAACCTGTAACAAGAATTGTATCTCAGCTTCTGCGTCGCTGACCTCGGTCAGGTTTTTCATCCAGTGTCCCTGATCCTTTCAGCAAATTCTGAGATGGTCCCCTTGTTTAGCGTCTGGACATAATGTAACTTCATTATCTGTGCACGTGTTTTAGAATTCAGTGCGAGATATAATTATTTAAATTATAGTTCTTGTCGCGGCAGAAAATATTGTACCTTCACGAAGGTCTTGATGAGGGATAAGATCTATAGCTAATTTACCATTTAAAATATATTTTATTACATTGGAGCGAATATTTTGTAACAATTGTAGCCCAAAACGTTCATTTATTCCTGTATTCTGAATTCAACTTGTATATGGTTTAGGGTAGGGATCCCAGAACGTGCACAAAATACGCATCTCCCCGTAGCACGTAACACACAGTTTTTAACTGTTTTTGACGTTAAATTAATAATAACAAATAAATGTTATCTATTTGTTAATTGTATTATTAAATTCACTATCCTTGTACGTTTTATTTATTTACCAACACAAATTCATACGTAAATAAATTTTATAGGAAAATGATGCCCAGAAATGTATTTAGTCTCTCTTGTAAGCTGCGCACACCTATAATTTATTTCTTTATTGATTGAACGATTTGTAAGTTTGTTTATATCCGTACTATTACCGTTAATTACTCTTTCCGCACGGATTCATCCTCACCTTTTCTCCGGGCCACATCGCCATGCAGTTTGTCGTATAAAGTACATGGATAATCAGTTTTACTATAAAGTTTATTTCCTACCAGTTTGCTGAGAATCTCATTTGACACTTAGAAATTAAGAGATTTAAGAAAAACTATTTTTTGTAACTTTCAATATCTCGAAAACGGTTAGTCATAGAAAAACGTTCAAACGATCAATTGTTTCTGAAATTTTATAATCTTCAAGTCTTCTAATAAGATTATTCAACATAAAATGCATAGGATTAGAGATACTGGCTAAAAAGAATGTTTTTCGTGACCTTCGGCCTCTAATACTATTTTGAAACGTACACATGAATTTGATGCGAACTATCAACCCCGTATATAAAATGGGAAGATATAGGTCGTAACAATAATTCAGCTCAAAGGGGTTTTTCCGCAGATAAGGTATTTTCTGTCAAATTTTATTGGACTGTAGCACACAATTTTATGAAAATTTAATGTCTTTCTTCGTATATGAGCACTTTAAAATGCGTATTATTCGAGTTCTAAGCGCAAATAAAAAAAAATAAAAAAAACGTTTCTAACACTAGTGTTAGAAATGAGACGACGCTCGTTTTCAGTCAAAAGTCTGACAATTTCAAGGAAACAAAATACTTTCGCATGGCCTCATCAGCTTCCACTGATCTTTACGTAACAGTCATAATTGTTTTGAATATTCGAATTAAAATAAAACGAAAATCAGTAGGGCTGTCAAAAAATAGTATATGGCACATGTGGTTGAAGTTATTTATTTTGTCGTAGGAAGCCACCCGGCCGATCAATCTTATCGCAAAATGGTACTACTTTTACCGCTCGAATTATAAATAACAATTTTGATCATTTTTTGAAATGTTTGCTAAATTTTAACATGCTCTTACGTCTGAACCTCTCCTGTGAAGAAAAATCCCTAACGAGTATAATTCGTAAGGTGAGTAATTCATGTTTTGCATAGAAACACCTCTTTTTAAAGAGTGCATAGCCTTCACGTTATAAGCAAAAACTTAAAAGAGCACTCTTTTCCTCCTTGAGTTTTCTCAGATCTTATGCATATTTATGTGATGGCAAAGTGGAAATTCGAATTCAACACACCAACAAAAACATATCGGGCGAGAAAAACTTCAAAAATCATTTCCCCCGCCAAACTACAATGTAACTTAACTATTTTATCAGCTACTTCTTCAGCTCTTCGCACTGGCGTTCAAATGTATAGGTTTAGTTAAAATATATCTATAGGCTTCGCTATTGCTAGATTTTTATGTAGAAATCAGTGCTGGGACCATTGTGGAAAGGTGGGAGTAGCCCCCGAGCATCCACTCGTTGCCATAGCAACGAAATCGTAAACATACCTAAGTGGAGCATGAAGTGCAGGGGAATCGACGATATTTATTAAATGTTAATTAAATGCATGAATTTTCTTGTTCATATTTCATAAAAAAGTGTATTCTCCACAATGAGTGAAATAAGGTTTGCAAATAATGTTTGTGTGCAAAATATTTTTAAAATTTTATCTTGAAACACTTCTTAGACACTTTGTGAAGATATTAATTTGATTTATACCTGAAAATTAATGTTTAAACTTAGGTTATAGTACTTTTACCAATAAACCTCTCTGACACCCTTAATATTTTAGATTGAACCCATGTAATTAACTTTCAGAAATATAAACGCTCAACGATGGTTAGATGCCTTCTCAGAACCTCATGCTGCTATATACACTTTTAGTCATTGCATGGCATTGGCTGATTTAAATGGTGACAATGATTATAAGTTAATTGTTGCTGACTTAGGCACTGGTACTATGAATATAAAATTAAAGGTAAGGAAATAAAAATATGCATTTACTTTGCCTTAATATAGATTAATGTAAGTGAACAGTTATATCTGGATTTGAGGAAAAGTATAATACATTTCGAGTAATGCAAGTTATTTTTGTGAAAAGCATACTGAGACATCCCTCCATTTGAAGGCAGAGTAAACAAGTGATGTACTAATGTAAATTATTATAATTCTTTGAATCGGTCTAAAATGTAGAAGCAATGCAAAAATAGTTCTCACTACTGATGCAGATTAAAACAAGTGCCATTATTTATCCCTATTTGTAGAATGTCCTCTTTGAATAAAATTTCATATTTGCAAAGAAGGTGATATGAAACAAAGGTTTTATCATTCTCAAAGCAAAAACATTAAAATTTTTAAACAGCATTTTTAAATTCTACTTCAAAAGGCAATGTTGATGTTATTGAAAATTAATTGATTTGTTCATGTTGTGGGGCATATTGGTTTGTGTTTTTTAGGTTTATAAAGGAACATCTCTTTTCACTGAAAGTACTCTCATTGATGTTCCCACTGGTGTAGTGTCATTTCATATGGATGTTAGTGAACCTAGGATTCCAGGTAAAAAAATATTTTTTCTCTAGATTTTCCATTTAGCATAATGAAGAATTTTTAATTTCTTTGAAAATGATTATTGATGAATTTACAATTAATGAATAACATGTGATCTTTTGAAAGATGAAATGTCACATGAAAACTTGTGGTTGAATGTATAAAATGGAAAAACAGGTGTGTGATGAAACACAAATATAAGAAAAGAAATGCACAAATGAAAGCAAAGGAGTACACTAGATAAATTTTGAACAAGATCACAGCAAATATTAATGATGAATTAAAACCAGTATTGATAATTAATAATTATTCATCACAAATAAGTAATAGGTGAGTGGGATGAGAAAATGTATGTCACAACACAGGATCACATAGGGATGTGTATTCTGGCTGTGCTATTGTGATGCAAGTCAGCTACAAAAAAGTTATTAATAATAAGAAGGTAATTAAAGGGTTATTATTTACACATATAACAAAGACAATTACTTGATTGGAAGTAAATTCGTCAAGCAGAAGAAAAAGAATCTGACTGATAGTGCCGGCATAAAAAGTATGCATTGGATAATAATCAATAAAACAGAAAAGAAATAAAAAGGTCAGTATCAATTACAGTGCCTCATGAAAAAACTACAAACTATATTCTTGAGAAGGAAAAGTCAAGTGCACAGACCCTAAGAAGTACTACTTCCCTATGGCATTAGCCAAATGACCAATGCGACCCTGACACTGTAATAAAACTCAATTACTCCTTTATATTTACATAGATAAACACATTTTAGAACTCTTCTTTTCTAATAATTTTCATGCTTTATATGTAGTTTGTAGTGGGAATATTCATTTTTTTGAAATCTTGCAAGATGATATGTATTGATAACTGAAATGTAATAGGCCCTATCAAAGTAATGAAATGAGACAGACTTATTGACATACAACAATGGTCACAATGCCTAACAATGCATCACTAGTAGATGGACATGGGCAGGGTGCAAATTGATAATTTTCTCCAGAGGGGAATATTCATAACTCCAAGTGGGGACAAATTAAATTAAATTGTTGAGAGAAACAAAGACCATCATTGCTTATGAAAGACAGTCTAAATTAATCCAAAGAACGCTTTTAAGAATGTTTTGAAATTCTCTATTTGAATAGTTGAGAGTGCATAATAGGAAAATGAGATTTCTGACATGGGTTAGTTGTGCCCCTCACAAGAACAAGTTAACAATTTTCCAGCAGGAGACAAGTCTCTTAGTGGAACAATCCTCAGCATCCCCCTGTCAATTTGCACCCTGGGTATGAGACTAAAATAAATATTGATATAAAATAGCTCTGATGTCAGTTTCACTTAAAAACAATGCTAACCATTTATTTCTAATGTATTTGCATAATTACTCATGATCATTTATTAACTCAGTACAGTAATTAACCTCTCTTGTGTAGCTGTTGCTGTGGCATCAGGCCCAAATATTTATATTTATAAAAACATGAGGCCTTATTTCAAATTTTCCTTGCCAACATTGGAAGTGAATGCTTTGGAAAGAGATTTGTGGCTTCAGGTTGGTATGTTATTAACTTTGCATATGTTCTTTTGACATTCAATAGGTGGCCTACATGTTTAAAATAATAATTTGAAAAAATTGAATTTTCAGATGAGAGATAAATGTATGGAAGTAGACACATTTTTTGAACTAATTCAAAATCTACGACAGGAAATTGGGTTCACTCACCTGACACCTAGATCACAGCAACTTTTACTTCTAGAGCATGAGAAATGGAAGAGTTTTGTTGAAACACATGTAACTACCCCACTTAAGAAGCAGGTGAATTGTTTTCTTTGTTTATAGTTAGGGTTACTGCGGGAGACCTCTTCATTAAATGTAAATAATTGATATGCTAAAATAGCTTTTTATTTCTGATTCTATTTTAAAAAAACTGCCTGCTTCTGTCATTGAATTGCATAGTGGTCTTAATCAGTTTGAAAATGTTTCAACTACAAACCAAATGATGGCTTTTAGACATGGATCTCTACTCATCAGCATCCAACTTTTCAACAATTGCATGTTCATGGAAAAACATGGAAAATCTTTAAACTCTATTCATGTATAATGTATGCACAAAACATGTGCAAAATTTTTATTTTCATCTTTTGGATTTGAATAAAAAATTTGATTGGGAAAAATTTTGTGTTAAAAAAAAAAAGTATTTGGAAGTCTGCGCCTTACTACTCCTTTTAAAATTGATTTTTTCGGGTCATTTTTTACTTTCTACTACAGTACACGGGAAAGTAAATGATTAACAATATTTTACTATCTCACGTACGTACGTATATACAACGTAATGCGCTTAGTATGGAGAAAGTTATGTAATGTTGCGAAAACTCGATTTCCATTGGAAGGAAAACACAGTTTGGGGGGGGGGGGGCTGATACAGAAAAAGTTTCTTTAAACGTTCAGCTGCCTGCCCGCACCCGTCCGTTCGTCCATCCGTCCGCAGCTCTAAAGTCTGCATGCTTTGAAACTGCAGCGCGCTTTTTCAGGTATGCAAATGACCTCCCGAGTCTAAGGGTCAAGTACGACAGCCCTTCGAGTGTTGAAAACGTTCCTGTGACTTAGAGAATGACTCGAAAATGGAAAATTACAAAACCACTTTCTAAGGAATCTTTGTCACTGGGGGAAAGACTGTTAAGGATTTTTTATTGTTATTATATTACGAGGAACATTGTGTTTCTATGACCTAAAATGACACCTTTTATAGCTATAATTTATTACAGAGATTATTGTTTGTTTGGTCTCCAGACTGTGATTACCAGCATTACTACGCTAAATAAAAATATGGCGGAAGAAGATGCAGTTGCATGCTTAGTGGTTGGTACTGAGAATGGTGGAATATACGTTCTTGATCCAGAAGCATTTACCGTCTTAGAAAGTGTAAGTTTTAATATTCATAGGTTCATAAATGAAACACATTAATGAGAGGATGGTGAGTTTCTGTTCGTAGATGTGTAGATGCTCGAAAATTGGCACTGTCGAGCCGTGTTCTAGACAGATTTGGATCCCCCTCCTGAAAAAGAAAAAAAAATACTCTTGTCAAAATTTCATTTTACATAGTTACCATAGTTAATGTCTAGATGCCCCATTTGTTATTTCCATTCAGAAATGTTTTATTAAAGAAAATTGGAAAAGAAATGTAACAGGATTCGAACGATTCACTCACACTGTTTATTGGCCCAATTGCATTGGGCATTGCGAATATTATCAAGGTAACAGTCAAGAGACTACATGAGTATAATCATCATATCAGGAAAAAACGTAGGATGTTAGGAAAGTAAAGTAGATTCTATTTAGTACCGTAAAGTAGGTTCCGTTAAGTAAAGTAGGTTCCGTTAAATAAAGTATGTTAAGTTAGGTAGTGTAAAGTCGATAGGTTAAGTAAAGTATGTTAAGTTTAAAAAGAAAAGTAGGTTCTGTTAAGTAAGGTATGTTCAGTTAAGTAAAATAAAGTAGGTTCCGTCAAGTAAAGTATGTTAAATTAAGTAGAGTAAAGTAGATTCCGTTAATCAAGTATGTAAAGTTAAGTAAAATTAAGTAGGTTCCGTTAAGTTAAGTAAGTAAAGTAAAGTAAAGTAAAGTAGGTTCCGTTAAGTAAAGTAGATTTGGTTTAGTAAAGTAAGGTAAGATCTGTTAAGTTAAGTAATGTAGGTTCCGTTAAGTAAAGTAGGTTCCGTTAAGTAAAGTAAATTAAAGTAGGTTCCGTTAAGTAAAGTAAAGTAGATTTGGTTTAGTAAAGTAAGGTAAGATTTGTTAAGTAAAGTAAAGAAGGTTTTGATGAGTAAAGTATGTTAAGTTAGGTAAAGTAAAGTTGGTTGCTTGATGTAAAATATGATAGTTAAGTAATGTTAAGTAGGTTTAGTTAAGTAAAGTATGTTTAATTAAGTATAGTAAAGTAGGTTCCTTTAAGTAAAGTATGTTGTTTGGACATTTTGGACATGTTTGGACATGTTTTGATATCTTTGGACACGTTTGGACCGGTTTTGAACATGTTTGGACACATTTGGACCTGTTTGGACATGTTTGGACCTGTTTGGACATGTTTAGACACGTTTGGACATGTTTGGACCTGTTTGGACATGTTTTGATATGTTTGGACCTTTTTGGACCGGTTTTGAACATGTTTGGACAAGTTTGGACCTGTTTGGACATGTTTAGACACGTTTGAGCATGTTTGGACATGTTTAGACACGTTTGGACATGTTTGGACATGTTTGGTCCTGTTAGGACATGTTTGGACATGTTTAGACTTGCAGGGTCGATCCCCCACTTGATCGACTTGCAGGGTCGATCCCCCACTTGATCGACTTGCTGGGTCGATCCCTCACTTGATCGACTTGCTGGGTCGATCCCCCACTTGATCGACGTGCTCAGTCGATCCCCCACTTGATCGACTTGCTGGGTCGATCCCTCACTTGATCGACTTGCTGGGTCGATCACTCACTTGATCGATTTGCTGGGTCGATCTTCCACTTGATTGATTTGCTGGGTCGATCCCCTACATGATCGACTTGCCTTCACCTATATTGACATAGGTGGAGGACACAAACTAATGAATAAACCTTTACAATTAAATCACTCAACATTATTAACAATTATCTCATTAACGTACCAACTCCATTTAAAATTTAACATGATACATTGAAAAGTATGCACAATTATTTCAATTATAACAAGTATTTTCCAAGCAATACTTTATACTGCCGACATTAATATAGCACTAAATAGAATCAGTCAATACGGGTACACGTAAATTTTGCTTGACTTGTACAAACAATGCAGGCTAATAGAGCATCATCCTTTTTCACCTTTACCTATATTGACGTAGGTCGTTCAATAATTTCTGCATCTTATAAATTTATACACACTTTGATAGTAGAAACTCTCAAACTATTTCTAGTAGTAGCCGCTGCCTTCATACAAATTACAATAAAGACAAATACCATTCTGAGGAGAAACCATTTAAACAATTTAGTACCAATTCCATATTTAAGAACTTATTGGGTTCAAAGTGTCTGAGAAGGATTCACAGTTGATAATGCCACAATAACCCAAATCTTCCGATTCCTCTTGATAATTCTATTAAGAGTTGCATCATTACTAGTAATTCACTTACATTTGCTTCTCCAAACATGTTCAAATAGTCCTTTAGTTGATTAGATAAAATTCCACCCCATCCATACTTCAATTTCCACGATATTATATGATCTTTAAACATATTATTATTTTTAATTAGTTTAACAATAACAAATCCATATCAAGCCCAGAGGGGGTGAGCAATGCATCTACTAATGACTAGTTTTGTTAGAAATGGTCATCATTAGCTTGTGATAAGAATTGAACTATTATGGTACGTTCTGATACGATAGACTCCTCAGCACAAGAGGTAGGAAGAGTTTGTAAATGGTGTAGTAGTTGCATGTTACCACTTACACATTATCTCGATAAATGATTCTAAGGGTAGCCTTTGCGGGACCCCATCTTTTTATTTTTTTTATTTTGAGCCGCTAGGAATGCATTTGTGGTCAGGTTCTCCGCTATGAGAAAGTGGTATGGCAGATGAATACCACGAAACGAGATTTAAAACGTGCACTGCACATACCAATGGCTGGTTTGATAGAGCTGGTCCGCAGCAGTTTGTGATAAGAATTAAACGTTTTGATACGTTCTGATATGATAAGATTTCTTTTCATTACAAACAGGTTGTAAGAAACGTTTCTGAATTAATTAGTACTTGTACTCTACCACCTTCAAAGACCTCAGGTAGCACGTTCCATTGAGAAAACACCTGGATCATCCATTCTGAACCTTGAAACCAGCTGTCGTTAGACACCAGACCTCTGGCAGTGAGTCCCCGCGAATTGAGATCAGCAGGGTTATATTTAGGAGAAATATATAACCAATCCTCCACCTGGGAACACTGTGTAGATGCACTATTTCTGTTTCAAAAGAAGACATCTGATCTATTTGGACCATGTTGTATCCCATGCATTACGATAATGCAATCTCTGAATAAATGTGCAGATTAGAGACGCACCATCATAAAGGTTCATTATGAATTTGCCGAGTAAAAGTGCTCCATGCGATAAGTTGTCTACATAGAAGAAGCTAGTAATGTCGAGGCCTGCCTTTGGAAAGGCAGCTTTATTATTATTAGCAATTTGTTTCAAGCATTGTGTTGTGAAACATGCAAAAGATGCATGACCATAAATAGCTAAAAAATGAAACTTCTGTTGGGATGAAAGTGGCCTCCGATAAACGTAGCCGGCTATGTAAAACCATTAAAATCTGGAATTCTTGCCCACCCTCCCTCCCAAAAAAGACGTTTTAGCGGTTCAGGAGGAGAAGGGAGCGGCGTCCGGAGGTCTGACCCGATTGTAGTACATTCCTCTAGCCTGACTCCGACACTTGTACTTGCACCTAGTACTTGCACTTGTCTTCTTGCATTTGCTATACTGCAAGAGTTAGCTTAAGTGACTTATGAACTTACACCTATCATTTGCATACATTCCTCGTTTGATTTTCATTTCATGTTTCTTCTTCAGTTGTCGTTGAGTGGCTGCAGCAGTAGCAACAACACCGTACCCGTTCATCTGGTGGCGACTGGACTATTTGACGTTGAATACCGCATTTTAGCTGCTTGTCGCGATGGCACGATTTGTTTGTTACGGCGAGGATTTCAAGAAGCGAAGGTGTTGGTGCAGTTAAGCACACAAGTTGTGGCAATGGTTGTAATTCTTGAAAACAATAATATTGTCACTGCTCTAATGGATAGGACAATCCAATGTTTTACTAGAAAGGTAAATCTTCCGAACTCTGAATTATTAATTTCAAGTGTGTAAAGTGTATTAAGAGTTTATTGTAACGCAGAATATAAAAAAATTACATGAAAGTTTGATTTTCAAATTTTCTTTGACGTTTTTACTGGTTATTTTCCTCCTAAAATAAACATTATATGTATGGTTTACTAAATTTAATATTTAATTTAGATTAACTTTTTAGTTACGGAGTTAGTTTCCTCTGCAGTCCTACGGGTGCGGACCTTTTTTAAATGACTTCCGGCTTATCTCCCTGCAGATTTTTAACCACTGCTAGTGTTGAAGAGGGCCGATGAGGGCTAGTCTTGCACAGGAAGGCAATGGCGCCTTACAGGCAGTGGGCCACAATGAGGCGATATGTATATATGAGCTAAAATAAGACATGTGCATTGAAACATGGAGACAGTTGCTAATGCATGGGAATATTACGCTTCAAATAATAAAAATAATAGTAATAAATTATGCAGTGATTGAAGCAATTAAGTACTGTTTTGAAGAAAAGTAAACATTGATTGAAAATTTGCTTGCAAGGGAACCGCTCAAAATGAGAAAGTATTTGCAGTACCATTATGGCGGCGGCGGTGTAACGGTTAGCGTGTCGAACTGTTATACCCAAATTCCCCGTTCAGGTTCAAACCCGAACGAAGCTGTGGATTTAAGGGTGAAAAAATTCTTCTTACACCTTCCTTCAGAGGGGAAGTAAAGCCGGCTGTCTCATGTTAGTATATTTACTTGCATGTAAAAGATCCTCAAGCCTAAATGACGCCTCTTGAGCTTCAAATCGCCTGTTTCATTGCCCAAGAAATACCTCTAGCTAGCAAATAGCTAGAAGGTGAAAGGAGCGTTGCGGAATTTGCGTGGTCAGACGGAAGAGCGGGCCCGTGGCCCTAGTCTCGCCACGTAAAATAAGACATCAATTCAATTCAGTTCTTTATGTCTCAGAGTGTGTAGTCGGAGGTTTCGGTGTTTTCGGAATCGCTATTGCCTGAAAGCACCGAATTGCTCTCTCCCATCTACATGACGATTGGTCCTAGTATCATGGAAAAATACATTCTTGAAAGGATTCTTAGGGGAAGTTTGTTTGCTTGATGTTTACGAGCGTATGATTGGCAATGCTCATTAGTTCCCCAATCATATGCTGGCTATGTTTTTTTCCTCCGGTGAAGTGCGAGGTCCGGCGCCAATCTACATGTCGTCTTATGGGGAAATCCCTTTTTCAAGTATCTCCTCCAGGGAGTTCCACCCCAGCCTTAAGCTCTCATTTGGCATTCCGACGCGCGCGAGCGCGAGTGTGTTAAGGGAGAGGCAGAACAAGTATGAAGGGAAGTTCACGCGCGGTACGTGGTCCCTTTGTTTCAGAACTGCTCCGGCATTCACTTGGTATCACATTCACAAGAGAAATGACGGAAGAGTATCGATGAGAGCAGCGTGTTGCTGGAATTCCCTAGATAGACTTTGACACACTAGCTGTATATCAATATTTAGATTTAGTCTGTGTACGTTTTCTTGAGTTACAGAATCCCTTCCCATCATTTTAACTATAAATAGTTAAAAGATGAGTAAAAGTTTAAAATAAATAAAAATAAATTTTAAAAAGCGCGAGATTAGCAATATTTGAAGGAGGAAAAAAAAAAGAAGAAAGTTCCCCCCTGCCCGTGTGTATATCTAGGGGCATTTAATAGTGGCTCTAAACAAATAATGTAAGTTGGAATATAATGTATAAACATTATGTGGTATAAGGCAACTGTGTCACTTCCTCCAACTATAACTCAAATATAGTTGGTATTCTCTGAAGTATAAAAGTTCCACTATAGGGTAAAATCATCAAAGTGTCTTAATTAGCCATAGAATCAGCTGCAGAAAATTGTGTCTTGTTGCTGCTCTGTTACGTGACTTGTTACAAGATTCAGATTTTGATCAAATGGATTTGTAATTTAATTTTTTTAAAACAGCCTTTATATTCAACAGGGTAAGAAGCATTGGGAGATCAAATCCCCCAAGAATGTGACAACAATGGGAGTTGTGCCTTTGCATCATCTTAGCCTCACATTACTTGCAGTGGCAATGACTGGCGGCACTGTGCAACTGTATGAAGGCCGTCAGTTAGTAGATGTTGTGACTGTACCTGATACTGTGTCTGCTCTTCGATTTGGTCATTTTGGTCAAGAAGAGAACACCTTGATATTGATAACAGTAGGTAAGATGACTATAACTCAAATTCTGCAAACATTTTTTAAATATTTTCATTGACTTACAGTTATATTTTACCAACAATCTAATTTTATAGTCTGCATAAAATATTTAATTAACATTTAATTTTTCTTCAGGTGGGTCATTATATGTGAAGATTCTTAAAAGGACTGCCCATTTTACTCCACAAAATGACAGTATTGGATTAGTTCCAGCTCAACAGATTAAAATGGCAATTCCAAAAAAAACTAAACTTTTTGTTGAACATACAATGAGAGAAAGAGAAAATGCTGTTGGTATGAATCCATTCATTACTCTACTTTAACAAATACTTAAATTGAACAAATTTGATATCATTAAATATTTTCTTGTCATGTAGCAATGCATCAAACCTTTCAGCATGATTTGTTTCGGCTAAGATTGAATACTGCCCGTGCATGTGTTAGAGCACTCGAAAGTTGTAATAATCCGATCAGTACCAGTACAGTAGATCCTTTGAAAATGACAGCGCAAGTAAGATCCAATTTTGTTGTAATTCTGTTATAAAAGAAATCATTTGAAATTATTTGTAATTTACTTAATAGACTGCTATGTATGGATATATTCTTATTTTCAGGTGTTGGGTTTGGGCCCTAAATTTAAATTGTACCTTACATTGGAAAACATGTCTGTTTCATCTACTTCAAAAGATTTAGCTATTTCATTTCACTGTGATGATAAGATTTACAGTGTTGAAAAACCTTTCATTTATGTAGGTATAGTTTATATTTTTTCTTTTCTTTTGCACTCTTACTTTCACATTCCATATTTCAAATTTGATGTATGTATTATAAATATATATATATATATATATATATTGTTTTGGTTTTCTCTTCAGATTCCTGTTCTCACTCCTGGTTTAACTTACCAATTTGAAACAGGAGTGGAGTGTGTCTCAGAACTTGGCATTTCTGATCAAATACGCATTTTTATTGTGAAATTAGATCAGTCAGAACCACTCTTGGCTGTTATGGTGGCAATGCCAGCTTGTGACACACTAACAAATGTTTAACATTACAAACTTCACTCTACTGCAGTTGTACTCAAAACGCTCGGTAAATAATGTGTTATGTTAAATAATACTAAAGAATGAAGAAATGTCAAATTTAATGTTTGTGATAGTTGTGTAGATTATTGGGAAGTATTATGATTATGCAATGTTAAATATTTTTTACATTGTTTCCGAAACAAAAATAAAATATAAATTAATGACAAAAGTGTGTTTACAAGAGTTATTTTTATAATTATCTTAACCCCTTACTGATCCTTGCTCTATGAATGTTTTTTATGCATTAAAAAAAACAACAAAAAAACACAGAACACATGGGTCTAAAACAACATAGTGGTATTTTTATTGTGAATGTGATAAGTTATATAGAATAAATAATTAGGTACATCAAATTTCATCCAGTTTTCCAGAGAAACAGAAAGATAATCTTAAATCAGAATTTCTCATCAATACCATGATCAATTTAGGGTTAGACTCTTTCACCATTCCGTAATATTTCAATAGTCACTAAATCTTATACATTAATTTTCCTCAGAATCAACACATTGCATCGATACTTAGCATACTGTCTTAATTATAGAATTGACAAATACCTTACTAAATATGATACTTCCTTAAAATTCGAAATAAACACAAAAGTTATCACAAAATTCTAATTACCAAAATTCTAATTTTAAGTTAGTAATAATAATATAAGTAGGCACTTACTATATTTGCATAATATTATAATAATGTATATTAGATTTGAATATTTATATGAATGATATGAATAAAATTTAAAATATAATATATATGTAATGTGTAAAAACACAATTAGAATACCAAATATTGAGGTAATCTGTAAATGTCATAAAAACGTGTCCAAACGTGTCCAAACGTGCCTGTACTTAATGGAACCTACTTTACTTTACGTAACTTAACATACTATCCAAACATGTCAAAACATTTCTAAAAATGTCTTTTCCATGTCTCCATGTCTTTTTGATATGATAAGAGAAAAATATTTAAACATGGACAGTGAAGTAAGTGGATGTAGGTCCCCCACATCACAGGTTTCTGAAAGAAGATCAAGTATATTTTTTCAAAAATACGATTTGTTTACATGTAATTCTGTTTGAAATGTGGGCAACTTGTAAATAAAGTATTTTCTCAAAAATGGCTCAAACAATTGTCTTTAAATTTTTTTCGATTAGATCATTGACATCCAAAAAATTGTGCAGATCCCATTTTTTTGTAAACTCTCTGTATTTTCCAAAATAGCAAAAATTGCATACTGTAAAACTGCAATATTGATGAGAGAGATATTTTCCTTAATGACATCTGTGCGTTTAATCTAGATTATGAAATAAAGCAAATGAAAATATCTGATTTTTTGAAAAATTCAAATACAAATATTCAATTTTTATTTAAGTGTTCAGAAGGTAGAGTTAAACAGCGAAGGTAGTGATGTAAGTGTAAGGCGTATTAACCTGAGTTCAAATTCCTTATCTAGAGCGGAGGAAAAAAGAGCTGGTTGGAAACATTTTAGGAGGTTCATGTAGTTTTATATTGTGTAACTGTTACAAATAATTCCGGAAAATTATGTGCCCTTAATTAAATATGGGATATACTGCAAGAAAGGTACAGGTGGCAACCTTATATCGAAAAATACTACTAGTCTAGGCCAATGAAGAATCGAATAGGTCTAGACCAGTGGTTTTCAAACTTTTTGCTGCTGTTGCCCCATTTAGGTAACAAATTCTGCTAACACCTCCCTTCATTAAAATTATTAAATTGATTAAAATTGACAACTAAATTTTTTTTCTGTAAGTAAGGCTATCGTATACACTTTGTTTATATATTCTTATAGTGTACAAAATAATTAGTGCAAGTGACTTGTACAGTTCACTCTTGTAATTAATGAATTTAATTAATGTTTGACAAAGTAAGGAAAATACTAAGTTAGAAATGTCAGTATGCTTCTCTTTCTGGAGATTTATTCTTAATCTATGTTTTTCTTGATCACCGCCATGGTTGAAAATCCTTTTTCACATACATAAGAAATGGGAAAAGGAAGCAGGTCATGCAAGGCCTTCTTACTTAACTCTGGATACTGATTTTTCACAGAGCACCAAAATTCAGACAGTGTTGCAAGAATAAACCACTCTATAACAAAGCAAGCTGGACTCCGTGCCAACTGCCAGAGCGTATTTAAAATAACTGATAGTTCACAATGGAAGCGATGAGATCACATATTATACAAATGTTTTCTCCCTCATTCGTTTTAATTAATGAATAATTAGGTTAAGTTTTAAAATAGTTGTCAAAATATAATTCTATTTATTTGTTGTTCAGTCCCTTATTTTAAATGTGGACAACCACAATGATAAGTGTCAAAAACTTTTTCACATAATAAAATTTATTCACTTGTGTTACGTTGTTTCAGAGACTGTTTTGTCTTCCTCATTAGGTACAACTGAAAATTTTTGTTTTTCAGTTCAGTTTTCTGTTGTACCTGATGGTGATAAAATAGTTTCCGAAACGTCGTAACGCAAGTGAATAAAATTATTATGTGAAAGAATGCTTTGCACTTATCATTATGGCTGTACATAATTTAAAATAAAAGGCTGAATATCAAATAAATATAATTAATGAAGTCACATACATATAGTCTACAATACAATACAATATAGTCTACATAGCCCTAAAGTACTTTATTAATGTAGAAATAATCGGAGATTATAAAGCTTTAGAACGTTATTTAATTAAAAATTACGAGATTCTCGCGCCTCCCCAGGGAGGCGCGCCTCACAGTTTGAATAACACTGGTCTAAACCAAAGAGTATATTTGGTCTCAACGATAATTCAGTCCGAAGTTCCCGCCATTACTCCCTTTGCAGTGTTCCTCTAAAGTTCATTCTCATTTCAGCATGAGTATGCTGAAACTGAGCTCCAGCTGTCGATCTTTGACTCCAAAGAGAGCACGTGTCTTGGCGGCACTTGGCGGTGTCTTGGCGGGTGTGCACATGCTAGAGGCCACGCGCGCTAAAGCTGTTTGTTTTGGTTGGGGTAGATGGGAAGTGAGCATAGTATTCCTGAAAAGTAATTCCTGCATTTATTTCAGGCGTAACCAAGCGTATGTGAATAAATTAACGATGGTTATTGCTATCGGATGGGAAGGCAGTGCTAATAAAGTTTGAGTGGGAATAATAAGGAATGGAGAAGTTTTTGGCCAACTGTCGGCAAACTTACATTTCTCCTCCAGGAGGTTTGTTTTGTCAATATTTTACCTATAAATTTCCTATCGTGGATATCAAGATTATTCGTAGAATGGAAGTTGCTGCAGAAACGTTTTTTTCCCCATATAAAATTGTGAATTATCCTCGAGGCCAATTGTCAAAATGGACTTTTCTGAGAAGCGGATTCGTAATACCCCTTGTGAGTTAGAATAAAGAAGTAAAATTAGTAAATACACCAATTGAATTAAAATTCATTTTCACCTCAGCAAATGATTCACAGATTACTTCCTGGTTTTGTGTTCATATTTTGTTTCACAACAGAGTATATGTTTTTATTTAAATTTTGTCATTTCAGGGTTCCTTCCTCGGGAAACAGCCCAACACCACCGTGAGAAAATAATTGGATTGGTGCGTGAAGCACTTACAGTGTCTGGCATTTCCCCAGATAAGGTAGATGTAGTTTGTTATACCAAAGGTCCTGGAATGGGTGCTCCTTTAATTATGGTAGCACAAACTATAACACAGATATGGAATAAGCCAATTATTGGGGTGAACCATTGTATTGGTCGTATCCTTTTCTTAGTCATTTGTCATTTGTAGGATGTTAAAGAAGGGTACTTGATATGAGTGTGAACTTAATCAAAATGGTTGTGTTGAAGTATGTAATTTAAATATAAAGTAGCTTACTAATGAACATATTGATTTCTCCCCCATACATCCATACAATTTCACTGCTATTTTTTTGACTAAATTAATCAAATTAAATGACATCAACATCATCTTCCAGTAAACAAATATTTTAAATATTGTGAAATTTCATGTTGGTTTATATTGTCTTGAGAGCAGTGAGTTGCAAGTTTAAATTGGTTGTAATTGAGTTTCTTAATACAATATTGGATGCTCTTGATATTTTATCTAAAATTTACCATTCACCAAATTATGCCTTACTAGTGTGAACTTAGATTTGAATGGGAAGAATTTAACATCACCTATGTTGCAAATGATCCAGAGTGTTATATGTCAGTGGTGGTAACACTCAAATCATAGCCCCTATTCCCAAATAGATACTTAATAGATACCCTAAATACAATAGGACTTTAATCCGAATTATTCCGGCTATTTCGGAAGCTTTATCCGGACGTATTCCGGCTATTGTCGGACTTTATCCGGTCGTATCCGGCTATTTCGGATTTATTTATTCCGAATTAATCAAGCTATTTCGGACTTCATCCGGAACGTTTCGGCTATTTCGGACTTTACCGGTCGTAATTCCGGCTATTTCGGACTTTATCGCGGATTAATTCGCGTCTATTTTTAAATTTTGCGGGACGTATTCCGGCTATTTCGGACTTTATCCGGTCGTAATTCCGGCTATTTTCGGATTTATCCGTTCGTTCGCGGCTATTTCGGCACTTTAATCGCGGACGTAATTGCGGCTATTTCGGACTTTATCCAGAAATACCGACTATTTCGGACTTTAATCCGGTCGTATTCTTCCGTTTAATTTCAAACTTTATCCCGGATTAATCAGCGCTATTAGGACTTCATGCCGGAAGTATTGCGACTATTTTCGGACTTATCCTCCGGAGTATTCCGGCTAATTTCGGACTTTATCCGGACGTTTTCCCGGCTATTTCGGACTTTATTTCCGGATAATCCGTCCCGCCGAATCCGCCGGCTTTTGGACTTTACCCATCCGCGGACGTATTCCGGCTATTTGCGGACTTTATCCGTTCGTTCGCGGCAATTTCGGACTTTATCGGAGCGTATTGCTGGCTATTTCGGCTTTATTCCATAAACCAGATATATCGGGCTATTTCCGGCTATTTCTTGCTAAAATTTATGCGGAGCGTATTCCGGCTATTTCGGTACTTTATCCGGTGCGTATTCCGGCTATTTCGGACTTTATCCCGGACGTATTGCGGGGCTATTTCGGAAACTTTACCAGATAATACCCCCGGTATTTCGGACTTTTTATATTCGGTCGTATTCCGTTTATTCAAACTTTATTCCGGATTAATCGGCTATTTAGGGTACTTCATCCGGACGTATTTGGGCGGCTATTTGGACTTTATCCGGACGTATTTCCGGGCTTATTTCGGGTTGTCTGTCCTTTCGTACTTTATCCCGGACGTTTTCCGGCTAATTTCGAGAACTTTATCCGGATAATCCGGCTTTTTTGGACTTTACCCCGTGACGTATTCGCGGCTATTTCGGACTTTATCCGCTCGTTCCCGGCAATTTCGGACTTTAATCGCGGACGTATTGGGCGGCTATTTCGGACTTTAGTCGCAGATATATCGCGGCTATTTCTGACTTTATCCGGTCGTATCCTGGGTATTTTCGGACTTGTAATCGCGTATTATTCCGGCTATTTCGTAACCTTAATCCGGCCGTATTCGGCTATTCAGACTTTATCCGGTCGTATCGGCTATTTCGGACTTTATATCGGATTATATGCCGCCTATTTTGGAAGCTTTATCCGGACGTATCCGGCTCTTTCGGAACTTTATCCGCTCGCTAATGGGTCCGGCTATTTCGGACTTTATCCGGATTAATCCGTCTATTTTGGACTTTATCCGGACGTATTCGGCTTTTCGGACTTTATCCGGACGTATTCCGGCTATTCGGACTTTTCGGAGTTTTCTCCCGCTATTTTCGGACTTTATCCGGGATAATCCGGCTTTTTTGGACTTACCGGCGGACGTATTCCGGCTATTTGAAGCTTTATCCGTTCGTTCCAGCTATTTCGGACTTTATGCCGGACGTATTGCGGGCTACTTTCAGACTTTAATCCCAGATAGCATCCGGCTCTTTCTGACTTTATCCGGTCGTATTTCCTGCTATTTCGGACTTTAATCCGTTTATTCCGGCTATTTCGTAACGCTTATCCGGCCGTATTCCGGCTATTATCAGCTTTATCCGGTGTATCCGCCTATTTTCGGAGCATTATCGGCGGATTAATTCCGGCTATTTCGACTTTATTCCGGACGTAATCCGGCTCTTTCGGAAATTTAAATCCGGTCGTATTCCCGGCTATTTCTCGGACTTATCCGGATTAATCCGTCTATTTTGGACTTTATCGGACGTATTCCGGCTATTTCGGAACTTTATCCGGACGTATTCCGGCTATTTCGGACTTTATCCGCCGTTTTTTCCCCCGCTAATTTCGACTTTAATCGGATAATCCGGCTTTTTTGGACTTTACCGCGGACGTATTTCCGGCTAATTTCGGACTTTATCCGTTTCGTTCCGGCTATTTCGGACTTTATCAGTGACGTATTGCGGCTATTTCAGACTTTATCCAGATTTATATGCCCGGCTATTTCTGACTTTATCCGTCGTATTCTGCTATAATCGACTTTATCCCGGTCGTAATTCCGCTCTTTGGACTTTAATCCGATTCATCCGGCTATTTCGGACTTTTATCCGGAGTAATCCGGCTCTTTCGGGAAGCCTTTTTTTTTTATCCGGTCGTATTCCGCCATATTTCGGGACTTTATCCGGATTAATCCGTCTATTTTGGACTTTAATCCGGCGTATTCCGGCCTATTCGGACTTTATCCGACGTAATCCGGCCTATTTCGGACTTTATCCGGACGTATTCGCGGCTATTTCGGAATTTTCTCGTCGGTTTCCGGCTATTTGGCTTTAATCGCGGATTAATGTGTCTATTTCGGAATTTATCCGGACGTTTTCCGAGCTGATTTCGGACTTTTCCGGTCGTATTTTCGGAATTTAATTTGGTTATCTGGCTATTTCGTCGGACTTTATCCGGAACGTATTCCGGCTATTTCGGACTTTATTCCAAGATAATATCCGCTATTTAAAGACTTTATCTCCGGACGTATCCGGCTATTTCCGGGGACTTTAATCTGGTCGTATTCCGGCTATTTCGGACTTTAATTCTGGATTAATCCGTCTATTTCGGAATATTATCCGGCCGTATTCCGGCTATTTGGACTTTCAATCGGACGGCCCAAATCCTGCTAATTTCGGACTTTATATGCCGGAGCGTATTCGCTATTTCGGAGCTTTATCCAGAATATATCCGGCTATTTCGGACATAATCCGGACGTATTCCGGCTATTTGGACTTTATTTTGTCGTTTCCGGGCTTTTTTCGGGCTTTATCCAGATTAATGTGGCTATTTCGGACTTTTATCGGTCGTATTCGCGCGTATTTCGGACTTTATCCGTTCGTTCGGGCTATTTCGGACTTTATCGTCGGACGTATTGGCGTTATTTTCGGACTTTATCCAGATATATCCGGATTTTGGGACTTTTCCGCGACGGTATTCCGGCCTATTTGGCCTTTATCCGTCGGTTCCGGAATTTCGGACTTTATCCGGACGTCTTGGGCGGCTATTTCGGACTTTATCCAGATATATAACGGCTATTTCTGAACTTTATGCCCGGTCGTATTCCTGCTAGTTTGCGGACTTTATCCGTATTTAATTTCCGGCTATTTTCGTAACCTTATGCGCGCCGTATCCGGGCTATTTCAGACTTTATCCGGTCGTGTTCCCGCTATTTCGGACTTTATCCGGATTAATCCGGCTATTTCCGGACTTTATCCGGAGCGTAATCCGCTCTTTCGGATTTCTTTAATCCGGTCGTCATTTGTCCGCTATTTCGGACTTTATGCGTCCCGGCATTTATATCGCGGCTTATTTCGGACATTTATCCTGAGGAGCGTATCGCGGCTCTTACGGACTTTTCCGGTCGTTAAATTCGCCGCTCCTTTCGGAGCTTTATCCCGGAATTAATCCGTCTATTTTGGACTTTATCCGGAGTATTCCGGCTATTTGGATTTTATCCGGCGGTTTTCCCGCTATTTCGGACCTTTATCCGGATAATCGCGGCTTTTTTTGGACTTTACCCGGACTATTCCGCTATTTCGGAACTTTATCGCGTTCGTTTCCGGCTATTTGGACTTTATCGCGGAACGGTTGGGCGGGCTATTTCAGACTTTATCCAGTATACATCGGCGGCTTATTTCTGATTTATCCGGTCGTATTCCTGCTTTTCGGAACTTTATCCGTTTATTCCGGCTATTTCGTCACCTTATCACGGCGCGTATTCCGGGCTATTTCAGACTTAAATCCGGTCGTATTCCGCCTATTTCGGACTTTAATCGGATTAATCCGGCTATTCGACTTTAAAATCCGGAGCGTAATCGGCTCTTTCGGGACTTTATCCGGTCGTATTCGCGGCTATTTCGGACTTTATATCCGGATTAATCCGTCTATTTGGTGGACTTTATCCGGAGCGTATTGCCGTCTATTTTCGGACTTTAATCGGAGTATTCCGGCTATTTCGGACTTATCCGGACGTATTCCGTGCTATTTCGGACTTTATCCGGATTAATCTGTCTAATTTCGGGATTTATCCGGACGCTTTTTCCGGGGGCTATTTTCGGACTTATTCCGGGTCGTATTTCGGAATTTATTTGGATTATCTTGGCATTTCGCGGAAATTTATCCGGACGTATTCGCGGCTATTTCGGACTTTATCCGATATATCCGGCTATTTAAGACTTTATCCGGACGTATTGGCCTATTTCGGTACTTTATCTGGTCGTATTCCCGGCTATTTCGGACTTTATCTGGACTAATCCGTCTATTTGGATATTCATCCGGACGTATTCCGGCTATTTCACGGACTTTATCTCGGACGGCAATCCTGGCTATTTCGGACTTTATCCGGACGTTTTCCGGCTATTTGGTTTCGGACTTTAATCTAAATCGCAGATATATCCGGCTATTTCGGACATTTTTATCGCGGGACGTATTCCGGCTATTTCGGCCACTTTATTTTGTCGTATTCAATCTCTCTCAACGAAGCAACAG